CGCACGCCTTAAATCCCAGCAAAAGCTGTCGGATCTCCAAGAGTTCAAGGCCAACCTAGTTTACAGAACAAGTTCCAGGACAACAGGCTCCAAAGCTACACAGAGAAATCCTGTCTCGGGGAGTGGGGGGGGAGGAAGGAAGGAAGGAAGGAAGGAAGGAAGGAAGGAAGGAAGGAAGGAAAGAAGGAAGGGAAAAGAAAAGAAAATCTACTGAGAAAAATGAAGACCCAGAAGGAACAATACCTCTTCTTTCTTTAGGAAGCAGCCTTTCACTGGATATGAATATAGCTACTATATAGAAATTTCCAACCAGGCAGCTTTTCATAGGCACATTGGACCCTAGAGACGTCAAAAGGGCTGCAGGCCATTAAGGGACCCATTCAGACTCTGCCCAAACAGAAGCGAATGATGCTCAAGCTCCAGTGGTCGTGATTCAGATCTTTCACATTTAAATTTAGGAAAATACTGCAGAAATATGCAAATAAAGAAATATACGAAAGCATATTTTTCCTCCCCAGGATTCCATTTGTGTTGATGGGTGTAGGAGACAAAGGGGGATTCTCAACTGGCTGTTTGCTGCAAAAAGCTAGGTAACTGCCCTGTTCTGTGCTTTTGCTTCTGACTACTAAGTGGGAAGAGAGAGAAAAAGAATGTGAATTGCCTCTTAGAATGTGGGGGGCTCTGCCTGTGAAGGGACTGTGGGATACAGAACTTGGGGTGGGAGAGAAAGGAAAAGCGGTGCACACTGGGTCCGAACCTGACTGAAGACTCTGATCTTGCTGCCCCCGCCTCAGTTTCCACCTCTGTAGCATGGGAAGAATACTAAGCTCCCAGGACCGCTGGGAAGAGCACACCAAGGCAGTCTGAACCACTTTTATATTCAGTAGCCTTTCTTCCATTGGGGGCTGAGCTGAAAGGAGGGTGTGGGAATCTGGCCTGGGTGCCAGGGCCTGGGGATGGATGCGAGAAAGCACCCTGTGGCTACTGGATGTCCTGATCTGTGAGCTTAGCTGGCTCATCCTCTCCCTCTGCCACATCCAAGGGGAAACGAGAGTCCTTGCAGCAAGCCTGTCTCAGCCGCTGTTTGCTTTGGCCACGTTGTAATGGTCTTGCTGGCTCTGCCAACAGGATTTTGGTGTTTGCTGTCCCGCTGGCATGGCTGTTGAGGCAGCTGGTGCTCTGCTTCTGATAATCTAGCTAACATTGCTCCGGGCAAGTGAAATCTGTCTCAAGGCCGCTGCCCATTTTCTGATGCATCTGCCCCTTTCTCAGATGGATGGGTCCCACTGGGTCATCACCACCGCAAGGCTGCTGGGTTTTTGAAAGAAGCGTGTGTGCTGTGCCCACAGCCCAGCCTTTCCCTTTGAAACAGCTGTCCCTGAGGTGCAAATCCGAGGACTAAAAGGACAAAAGCTCGGAAAAGGAATGAGCCAAAAAGATGTGGGAAAGCTTTGCTTCTCAACGTGCCTTTATGTTTTCTGGGGGCAGCAGTCAACATTGGTGGCATAGCAAGGAGCAAGGAGGCAAGAAAGGCTTGCGCTGAAGGCTGTGCTGGGCCAGTGGGGATGCATGGTTTTGCGACAGGGTGGAGGTGCCCGACCAGATGGGAAGAACTTTTACTCACGATAGTCTCATCCCCTCCCAGTCCAAGGCCACTCCTAGAGCCTCCAGCCACCTCCAGAGCACACAGTGTGCTCACAAGAGAGATGAAGTGCCCTCCACATGACACGCTGCCTCTGGCTTTCCCAGGCTGCTGTTAATGACTTGAGAGTCATGGCGGGAGAAAGCAAAACAATTGAAAGCAATGCTTAGTGAATTGCCATTTCAAGGTCGTCATTGCCTTCCTGACAATTTGCAAAACTCATTTTATTGCCTTTTTAGATTCCTCGGGTTGAAATACCACTGTGTGCTGTAATTAAGCTAAGTGAAGTGCCAGCTGTACGGACAAGGGTTGTGAGTGATTGCATGTGGCTCATGTAATCATCCAGCTCGGCTGGGAGGGGGGCCTGGAACAGCTGCCTATCTGCCTGACTTACACTCCCTACCAGCGTTTTAAGGTCAGCAAGGGCCACCCAGCCTGCAGCGAATAGGGTCATCCAGGGCTGGGGGGGACCAAATGATTCCTAAAACTGGTCATGCATTTATCCAAACGATGGTCATGCATCAGAACCTTCAGGGAAGGTTTATTATTGATGGGCTGGGGATTGAGCCCAGGGCACCACTCACACCAAGCACCCATTACTACCAGAGAGCAATGTTTAGTGTGTGTGCATGTCTGTGGATCTTTCAGGGGGGTCTGTACAACTCTATCCTTTGAAAGATGGGATTCAGATATGAGCAGCCATGCCTGGCTTCTCGTGTGGGTTTGGGGAATCTTCACTCTTGAAGAGCAGACACTTTTACCCTCCATCTCCCCAGCTCCTAGTTCAGAAAAACATCTCTCTCAACCAAAGGGACTCATTCAGTCTAGGGAGAAGCACATATACATGAACTGTCCAGGTCCTTCCCATGTGAGACGCTGAGGACTGAACCCAGGGCCTCAGCATGCCAAGGAGGCACTCTATCACCGAGTCAAGACAATGCCAGCCTGATCCAGAGAACGTTTTGCTTTTATTAGTGTTTTGCCTATGTTGTGCCTGAGGGCAGAAGAGGTCGCTGAATATCCTGGAACCGGATTCATAGATGGTTGTGAACTGTTCTGGGGACCTAATCCAGGTGTTCTCCAGGATCGGTAAGTGCATTCAACCATTGAGCCATCTCTCAAGACTCTATCTACATTGCGTCTGTGTGAAGACATGTGTGGGCTTGCAAGCTAAGCACATATGTGACCATCAGAGGACGATCTACAGGGGTTAGTTGTCTCCTACCACATGGATTCAGGGGCTTGAACTCATATTGCCAGCTTGTTGGTAAGTGCCCTTTCCCACTGAGCCACCCCTCTGGTCCCCAGGATGGCTATATATATATATATAAATATTTATATATATAAATGTTTTGTATATATATAAAACAACTTAGCTGTGCTTGGACCTTCTCTACCGGGGTTACTCTTTTGCTCTCTGAGGTCTGCCAGAAAGCAGAGATGCATTTAGATGCTTTCTAAAGCAGATGAGGTGATCTATGTCCTCCCAAGTCACCCTAGCTTCTCTCAGGGGCCTCGCAATTCCTTTATTGTTGCTCCATGCATCCAGCTGCTGTGCGCCAGCTCTCTGATGTGTCTGTCACTTGATACTTTCTTTTTTATCTGCTTCTCTGAGGTACAACTGTCTTTTCTCCACTTCCCCACAATCTCTCATCTTTTTAGGTGTTGTGAAGGCTTGAAGGCAGGAGCACCCTGTGAAGCTTCCAGCTTTCTCCCGCTGTGGGCCTCTTCCTTCTAACCCATCATTCCACTGTCACTACAGAGGTATCTTCTAACACTAAATAAAATCTCTCTCCCATCCAAACCCTTCGAAGGTCTCCACTACACTCTGGGTTAAACAGTTCCCAGGATAATATTTTAGATCCTCTTCATAATTCATTGAACAAACATTTATTGAATCCCTCCCTACGAAGTCCTTGTTAGTTTGGTTTAAGCGCAAGGAGGAAAGGGCTGGGGAGATGGCTCAGTGGCTAAGAGCACTGGCTTTTCTTCCAGAGAACCTCAGTTAGAGTCCTACTACCCACGTGGTGGTTCACAACCATCTGTAAATCCAGTTCCAGGGGATCATGGCCCTCTTTTGGCTGCCACAGGCACTAGGTACACAGACATACATACATGCAGGTAAAACATGTAAAAACATACAATTCACTATCATGAGGGAAGCAGTAAGGCGAGAGGAGCAGAGGGCCCTGGGGTCCGCAGTGCGGTCTCTCAAGCTGTCACTCCATCTTCATCTCCCAACATTCCGAGCTGATGCAGCTGGATTGCACTGGACCTTTATCATCTCCTAGGCTTCTGTACTGCAATCTACATCCCATGCAGGCTTAAAATTTTCTTTATCCTTTTCTGACCCCTTGACTAGAAGTGGACTTGGCCACCAGGTGGACATGTTGCCTTCTCATCCACAGATACTGGCGTTTAACTCGGGCTCCATCTGTGAACTTGCGGTGTTCTCCTGCACACTCCACAGAGCAAGGCCTCCTCTGCCCCCATCTCACCCTGCCCCAACTGGAATTCAGCAGATAGCTACTCTCCACAGCCTATGGATGGGCGGAGTCAGGAAGACAGCCTGCTCTTTCCCCCTTCTCACTGGAGAACCCAGAGGCTTTTAGAACTTGAGGTAGAACAGAACATGCTAAATAATAGGGCCGGCCAAGTGCAAGATGCCAGCACAAGACTCGCTGCCCAGAATTCACTGCGCATTTCAAGATGGGGACCGCAGAGTCCCTCTGTGCATGGAGCCCTGAGTGACTACTACACTGATTCCAGATGTCAGCGTGAAGCTGGCCATGGCTCTGGAAGCAAGAAGCAAGGGTACTGGAACCAAAATGTCTGTTAGGGAAAAAAAACCTGGCTTTACCTTATTAACAGACTTCAATACCTTGGATAACTCAGGTCCTTTTCTTGGAGAGTACTGTGGGGTTAAATGCCTCAGACCTTGCTGAGGTGGGAAATCCATTCCCACAAACATCCAACACTGTGAAGCGGTGCTCACCTTTAGACTCACTTCTACCTTCCTCATACTTCCCTACAAAACCCTTCCCCCGTTCCCCAGAAATCCAACTCCAGAAGAACATAGGCCTCATGTCACATTCTAGAGAATGCAGGGAATGAGCTAGCAGGTAGGATTACACCTGGAAACTAGCTTTCTCTGTTTGATGGAAGGAGAGAAGGCACCATTCTGCGGCAGTCAAGGTCATTTCAGGTTCTTAGATCCTAAGGAAAGGACAGGGCTTCCCGTGGATCATCCATCCCAAAAAGTCTTCCAAGGCTCCTGGCATATTTCAGTAGATCAGTGAGCGGTACTCAGAGGAACTACCATCCCGCCTCCCGTTCTGGACCAGGCTCCTTCCTAATATCGAGCATGGCAATTTATTTTATTAATGTAAATATGAGGGAAGATATATAAATTCTGCAGGTCAATGGAAGGATCCCCTGCAGGCTAGGAACTCTCACATTACCTGTCTTTGCCAGCAAGACTGAAGGGGAGGTAGCAGCAAGAGGCAGCCTGGGGCCTGAGGTGGCAGGCCTTTGGGCGGGCTGGATGGAGACAACCGCTTCTGCTGGTGCATTTGCAACTGTTCTGATTCTTCCCATCAAGACTCAGAACATTCCACCACTCTCGGTTCTAGCTCTGCCTTCTTTTTCTTTAGAGGGAAGGGCAGACTAACACGGGCCAGCGGGTAGAATGGGCTCTGGACTCCTGGAGACTGGGAGTCCTCCCCTCACTCCTCCCTCGAGCTACTTAGCTTGGGGGAGTGTTCTGGATGACAGTGGCCATCATGTGAGGGACCCAGAGGCGCTCCACAGCTGAGGCAAGCGTCTAGGGAAGCGGCACTCGATCCCTAGAAGTCCTGGTCCCACAGGCAGCACTGTGAACTGATGGACAGGACTGCACTAAAGGCCGCTGTCCTCAAAGGTGCCAGTGAGACATGTGTATCAGACCAGAATGTCTAGATGAGGGAATGAATCTTCCAGTCCATTCTGAAGATACTGTCTGGAGACAAATCATTTCCTGGAGTAAGAGGTAGGAAAGGAAAAACAGCAAAGACCCACTCTGATTCTAGAAAGGAGAAAAAAAAAGATTTTTCTTAGATTATCTTTGACGAAGGCCTCTGGGATGGTAAAGGTAATTAGTCCTCCCTTTTCCCTCCCTGTGATGTTGCGGATGAAGCAGGGCAAGTGCTCTGCCACTTAGCCACACCCAGCCCTAAAGTCATCGTCATCATTTCTACCGAGTGAATCAGGAGGTGCTCAGGAGTCACCTCCCAGTGCACCAGGAACTCATTTTACCCGGGGAACTACCACCTGCGTCACCTACTGCCTGACCACCCAGACGTTTACCCGGGTAGCTGTCTGCAGTTCACGCCTGCTGGAAAAGGGGAAATCAGTTTTCTCCAATGCAGTCTCATCGGGTTTATCAGCCACATTCCAGGGCAGGCCCAATGCTCAGAGGCAGTTGGTCAACATAAAACAAACTCGGTGGTGTTTTTTTTTTTTTTTTTGGATTTTTTGTTTCATTTTGTTTTGTTTTGGCACTTTTTTTTTGTCTTATTGGTCTTTCCCCTGTTTTGATTTTCATTTTTGTAGTTTTTTTGTTTGTTTGTTTGTTTTGGTGCTTTTTGTTGTTGTTGGTTTGGTTTGGTTTTTTGAGACAGGGTTTCTCTGTGGCTTTGGAGCCTGTCCTAGAACTAGCTCTTGTAGACCAGGCTGGCCTCGAACTCACAGAGATCTGCCTGCCTCTGCCTCCTGAGTGTTGGGATTAAAGGCATGTGCCACCACCACCTGGCTGGTGCTTTTTTTGAGAAAGAGAGAGAAAGAACAAAATTGGGTGGAGAGAGAGGTTCAGAAGATGTGGGAGGAGTTGAGGGAGGAGAAACATGATCAAAATATATTGTATGAAAAAAATGTTTTAATAAAAAAAACATGGCAGGGTGGTAGTAACTCATGCCTTTAATCCCAGCACTTGGGAGGCGGAGGCATGCAGATCTCTGTGAGGTTGAGGCCAGCTGGGTATACAGAGGTAGTTCTAGAACAACCAGAAATATACAAAGAAACCCTGTCTTGAAAACCCAAAAAGAACAGGTTGGAGAGATGGCTCAGTGGTTAAGAGCACTAACTGCTCTTTCAGAGGATCCGGGTTCAATTCCCAGCACCCACACGGCAGCTCACAACTGTCTGTAACCCCAAGATCTGACACCCTCTCACAAACATACACACAAGCAAAACACCAATGTACATAACGTAAAAATAAATAAATTAAAAAAGAAAAACCAAAAAGGAAAAAAAAAAGAAAACTAAAAACAAAGAAGCTGTGTGCCAAGAACTGGATGTCAGGGCACAGATTTGTAACCCCAGCATTTGAAGAACAGAGATAGGAGGACGGGGAGCTTGAAACCAGTGTGACTTTGCCCAAAACAATTTCTTGAAATAATAATGCTTTTTTTTTTAAGGGGAGGAAAGAGGAGGCAGTGGCAGCATGCTTTCGGCCAGTAGTAGTTACTTGGCCTCTCTGCCTCGGTTTCCCCATTTGACAAAGAAACATCTGAGAGAACTGAGCGCAGTGTTTCCAACAGCAAAGCTAAATGTCTTTGTCCAAGATGCAGCGAGAGCATATAATCACGGTCACGACGGTCACCATCACCGAGGCCACCCACCTGGTCACGCTTTAATCATCCTTGCGACCTTAGTAACTGGGTTCTCTAACCTGGAGATCATAATCACTACACAGATCCACATAACTTACTTATGTGGATTAAGTAAAAAAAGTACTCATTGCTTTTCCAGAGGGCTGAAGCTTGGTTTCAAGTACCCACATGGCTTACAACCACCTTTAGCTCCAACCCAGGGGATGCAATGCCCCTGGCCATTCTGGGCACAAGTACTCACATGGACAAATCCGTATGCCGACACATACACATGATTAAAATTAATAAAGGGACAGCAAGAGATGGTTCACCAGTTAAGAGCCCTGGCTTCTCTTTCTGCAGGCCCGAGTTCAGTTCCCAGCACTCACACAGTGACTCATAACTATCAGTAATTCCAGTTCCAGGGGATCTGATGCTCTCTTCTGGCCCCCAAGGGTGCTGCATGCACATGGTGTATAGACATATATGCAGGCCAAACACACCCACACATAAAATAAAAATAAAGATTAGAAGATTTTTTAAAAAGATTTATTTAATTATTTATTTATTCATTCAGTTTTTAAATTTATTGCATCTGCATGCATCCCTGTTCACCAGAAGAGGGCACCAGATCTCATTACAGATGTGAGCCACCACCATGTGGTTGCTGGGAGTCGAACTCAGGACCTCTGGAAGAGCAGCCAGTGCTCCTCTTAGCCTTCTAGTCAATGCTCCAATGCGCTCTCTCTCTCTCTCTCTCTCTCTCTCTCTCTCTCTCTCTCTCTCTCTCTCTTTCTTTTTCCTTTGGCTTTTCAAGACGGGGTTTTTCTGTGTAGCTTTGAAGCCTGTCCTGGAACTCACTCTGTAGACCAGGCTGGCCTCAAACTCACAAGAGATCCTCCTGCCTCTGGCCCCTGAGTGCTGGGATTAAAGGCGTGTGCCACCACCAACTGGCCTAGCCAGTGTTCTTAACCACTGAGCTATCTCTCCAGCCCTAAAAATTGTAAATAATAAAAATAAACTCTTTTTAAAAAAATTTTTGGGGGGCTGGGTAGTGGTGGCACACGCCTTTAATCCCAGCACTTGGGAAGTAGAGGCAGGCGGATCTCTGTGAGTTTGAGGCCAGCCTGGTCTACAGAGTGAATTCAAGACATGCAGGGTTGTCTCAAAACACCAATTTTTTTTAAAGTTGTATTTATTTTGTGTGTGTGTGTGTGTGTGTGTTCATGCCATGGCACATGTGTAGAGGTCAAAGGACAGCTTCCTGAAGCTCCTGTCAGCTTGTGGGATCTGGTGATTCAACTGGGGCCTCAGGCCTGTGGACAAGAACCTGTTCCCAGATGCCCCCTTCCTGGGCCTGAATACGGATAAAAGCTTTCAGTGGAATCTGTGACTTCCTGTTTTCTTCTTTTTTTGAGCCAGGGTCTCCCACTGCCTAACTGGTCTCAATGTCCTTGGATTTCTTTAACTCCCGATCTTCGATGCTTCCCTGAAACGTGGATCATAGCTGTGAACCACCAGGCCTGTTTTTCTTTGAAACGGGGTCTCACTCTGTAGCCCTGGCTGGTCTGAAATTTGTTCTGTAAATCAAGCTGACTTTGAACTTGTGGTGATCCTCCTGCCTCTTGCTTTCCAAGTGCTGGGATTACAAGCCTATACACCCAACGCCTGGTTCCCTAGCTGTGTTTTAAAATTAATTTTACAGGGTCGTGCGGCGTCTATCCCTTGCTTGCCCATCGAGCTGCTGGTCCTCCTGCCTCCGCACCATGAGGAAAGGAGCACAGACACAAGCCGCTACCTGTGCTGAAATATGCACTAAAAATTTCATTACATCACTGTGGGGCTCACATTTGCGGAGGGCAGAGGGTCACTGGCAGGAACCAGTGCTCGCCTTCCACTATGTGAGTACTGGGGACCGAACTTGGGCCTTCAGGCTTGGCAGGCAGCAGATGCCTTTGTCCGCTGAGCCAGCTCACTGGCTCTAGAACATGCGTTTTCACAAACACCCAGGAGACGTCTGTGGGTGACAATTACTTAAGGTCCAGGGGGTCAGGTCAGCATATCTGGTAACAATCTGGTTTTCATGGCAGGAATGAGGGTTACTGAGCAATGCCAGCCTCTTCTCATGGATTTTTGTATATGACGTTCCTTCAGAGGCTCCTAGGCTGTGAAAGAGCGCTCCTTACAGTCTCGCTGACCCTTCCACACAGTGGAAACACCACATTTCTGGCATTCTGTCCCTTCCCTTCTCATTACAGGGCCAGCCTTATCTGACAATAGCGATCTAAAGTGCACTTCGTGGTGGAGGCAGCTCAGCACTATAGAAATAGGCCAAGCCGGGGTCATACTTTGAGAAGAATCTCAGCTGTTGATTTACCTATAGGTCTCCATCAATCCACCCACCCTCCTACATACTCAACACTCTAGAAAGATCAAGAGAAGAACAGACAGCGCACCAACCTATCCAGGGAAGAAGGGGAGGCACCTACCTAAGCTCTCACGTCCTTTCTGACCAGAGATCAGGCAGTGGCAGTGTGCTTCGGGTCCTGTGTGCCCGGGGCCTTGGTCGTACCTGGGTCCCTTGTAGTACCTGAATGGCTTCTGCTAGGCCGAGGGTCCAGCCGGGCCTGAGTGGCAACTACCAGAAGGTCATTCAGAGATTTGGCATGGCTGTGAGAACCCTGCAGGAGGAGGACGGAGGACACGTCCCTCTCTCTCTTCATGCCAGAGCCGTGTCTGTAGGAGCACCACTCCTTGGACAAGGACAGGTTTTCTGGAAAGGCAAAGCCATTGGCATCATCAGCTTGTGCTGCTGTAGTGAGCACAATCTCCTGGCGAAGGCCGCCTCCCACGAGGCTCCCAGCGGGCTTGGAATCAAAGTCAGCCATTGCTCCCTTTCTTCACACAGTTCTGTGGCCCAAGATTGGCACCGACAATGGGTCTCATGTGAACAAGAGCTGGGAATATTGACAATCAGACAGCACTCTGTTGACTCTTTGGTTCAATGGGGGTAGAGACTCTTTAATAAAGCGTATGGGTCAGGGGCTGGAGAGATGGCTCATTGGTTAAGAGTACTGGCTGTTCTTCCAGAGGACCCACATGGCAACTCAGAACTGTCTGTAACCCCAGTTCCAGAGGATCTGACACCCTTACCCAGACATACATGCAGGCAAAACATCAACGCACATTAAATAAATAAATAATTTTTTTTTTTTAAAACAGGATTTCTCTATAGCTTTGGAGCCTGTCATGGAACTAGCTCTTGTAGACCAGGCTGGCCTCGAACTCACAGAGATCCTCCTACCTCTGCCTCCCGAGTGCTGGGATTGTGTGTGCCCCCCACTGTCCAGCTTGTTTTTCTTTTTCTTTTTTTTAAATATTTATTTATTTATTATGTACATAATATTCTGTCTACATGTATGCCTGCAGGCCAGAAGAGGGCACCAGACCTCATTGCAGATGGTTGTGAGCCACCATGTGGTTGCTGGGAATTGAACTCAGGACCTTTGGAAGAGCAGGCAATGCTCTTAACCTCTGAGCCATCTCTCCAGCCCTAAATAAATATTTTTTTAAAAATTAAAAAAGAGAGGGCTGGAGAGATGGCTCAGTGGTTAAGAGCACTGCTTGTTCTTCCAGAGGACCCAGGTTCAGTTCCCAGCATCCACATGGCAGCTCACAACTGTCTGAAAAACCAGTTCCAAGAGATTTGACACCTTCATACCAATGCACATAAAATAAAAAGATAAATAAATCATAAAATTAAAAAAAGTTTTAGGGGCTGGAGAAATGGCTCAGCGGTTAAGAGCACTGACTGCTCTTCCAGAGGACCCGGGTTCAATTCCCAGCACCCATATGGCAGCTCACAACTGTCTGAAGATCCAGTTCCAGGGGATCTGACACCTTCACACCAATGCACATAAAATAAAGATAAATAAATCACAAAAAAAAGATTAAAAAATTTTAAACAAAAAAAAAGTTTTAAAAAAATAGCCAATGATCCTAACTGCTAAGCCATTTCTCCAACCTTTAGTTTTATAATTGAAAATACTTTATTATTGTTGTGTACGAGTGCATACATGTGGGTTGGCATGCTACAACACACAAGTGGGGGTCAGAGAATAATTTTGTGGAACCAATTCTTTCCACCCGACTTTATGTAGGTTCCAGTGATCAAATTCAGGTCACCAGGGTGATGTGGCAAACGCTCTTTTATCTGCTGAGCCATCTCACCAGTCCTGTTAATTTTTAATTTATTTTTCTAAAAATTTTAATGCCAGGCAGTGGTGGCACAGGCCTTTAATCCCAGCACTAGAGAGGCAGAGGCAGGAGAATCTCTGTGAATTGGAAGTCAACCTGTTCTACAGACAGGACAGCCAAGGCTACACAGAGAAACCCTGTCCTCCCTGCCAAAATATAGAATAAAATAAAAAAAATAAAAAATTGTTGGGGCTAGAGCTATAGCCCAACAGGTGAGCCACTGGCTACTCTTCCAGAGCTCCCAGGTTCAAATCCTAGCATCCATGGAGTGGCTTGTAATTGTCTGTCAGGCCAATCCCAAGGAATCCAACTCCCTCTTCTGGCTCCCAAAGGCATCTGGCACAAATGTGGTATGCAGACAGATATGTAGACAAAACACCCATACACATAAAACCAAGAAATAAAATTAGTTAAAATAAATTTTATTTGTTTTTATGACGTGAATATTCCCACACGTCTCTATGAGAACCACTTGGGTACAGGTACTCAAGGAGGCCAGAAGAGGGCTTTGGCTGTCCTGGCGCTGGAGCTACACAGACAGTGCTGAGCTGTCCAGCTCAGGTGCTAGTCATTATTTATCTCTTTGAAAAAGCGTCTTGTGTAGCTCAGACTAGCTGCAAACTCATGGTCCTCTTGTCTCAACCTCCTGATTCTGATTACTGATATTTCAGGCATGCCCCACCAGACCTGGCCCTGATGCTAGAGTTAAGGCTTTGTCACCCGATGTTCCTAAGAGAAAAGGGAACCTACGGTGGCTAGCCGTGAGTGAGCTTCATTCCCCTTCCGCTCCCCACCATTGCTGTCCAGACACTCTCACATCCAAGACCCAAAAGCAATGTCTGCCCCATCATCAATGCAGACTTCAAAAGCCTGAGCCTACAAACTATATTCCCTCTAGAAGCTAATGACATGAGTCATTTTGTCCCAGCGATAGAAGCTCGGCACTCTCCAGCACTCACGTGGCTTGGGGGTCGGGAACAAGGAGCGCTTCTTCTTCATCTGAACCTTCTGCAGTATCTCTGACATCAGGTGCTGCCGCCTCACTTCGTTCTTGATCAGGGTCAAACTCATGTCCAAACCCCTGGGTTTGGAAGACACAGGAGGTTTGGATTTTGTCTCCTGGACCGGCTTCTGGGGGGCCTTCTGCTTCCTGTCCTCCCGGGAGGCCCAGTGGCCACTCTCCGAACTGCTGCACTCAGGACTGGAGGTCAAGCTCAGGCTGGCCAGGGATTCGAGAGAGGTTGAGAGCTGGGCTATGGGTTCTGGGGAAGTTTCCACAGGTGTTAAAGGCTGAAAGAGAAAACAACCTGGAATGAGATCTCAGGAGGCAGAGGACTCCCTTCTAGCTCCTCTAGGAAGAAAGGGAGGAAATGGTCCTGGTGGTGAACGAAGAGCTGCCTGTGCTGGGGACCGAAGAGCTGGCCCAACGGTTAAGAGCACTGGCTGCTCCAGCTCCACGAGATCTGAGAACCTCTTCTGGTCTCTGTGAACATCTGGCACACATGATGCACATGCAAACAGACACATACACATAGGCACACAATTTTTAAAAATGAATCTTAAAGTTGGCTCTGGGCAGGGTGTGGTGGCGCATGCCTTTAATTCCAGCACTCAGGAGGCAGAGGCAGCCAGATCTCTATAAATTCAAGCTGGTCTGCACAGTGAGTTCCAGGACAGCCAGAGCTACGTAGAAAGTCTCAAAAAAGAGAAAAAGAAAAAAAAAAGTTGGCTCTAGGATAACCCAAGCATTGTTCATTAGCATACAATAACTTTATCACTTACTTTTATTTTGTGTGCATTGGTGTTTTGCCTGCATGTGTGTCTGTGTGAGGGCATCAGATCCCCCAGGAACTGGAGCTACAGACAGTTGTGAGCTGCCATGTGGGTTCCACGAAGTGAACCCAGGTCCTCTGGAAGACTGAGCCATCTCTCCAGCCCACTGTAGCAGCATCTCATCAGCTCTCAAAGGAGCCTGGTTACTGCAGCCAGAGCTGAGTAAAAAAAATCATCAGACACATGGTTTGCAGAACTCTCTACCCTGTAGGTCAACTTTTTACTCCCTTTATTGTTGTTTTTGCTGCGAGTCTGAGTTTGATGAAGTCTTGCTTGTCTAATGTTTTTGCTGCTATCCTCAACAATTTCTGCCAAACCCAATGTCATGGAGCCTCAAGGCACATTCTTTCTCTTTGTTTAAGTGATTTGAGTCTAAATTTTTGTTGTTGCTTTTGAGATACGATCTTTTCTTTTTTTCTTTTTCCTTTTTTTAATATTTATTTATTATGTATACAATATTCTGTCTACATGTATGCCTGCGGGCCAGAAGAGGGCACCAGACCTCATTACAGATGGTTGTGAGCCACCAATGTGGTAGCTGGGAATTGAACTCAGGACCTTTGAAAGAGCAGACAATGCTCTTAATCGCTGAGCCATCTCTCCAGCCCTTTTTTTTCTTTTTTCTTTTTTTTTTTTTTTGTTTTGTTTTTTGAGACAGGGTTCCTCTGTAGTTTTGGAGCCTGTCCTGAAACTAGCTCTTGTAGACCAGGCTGGCCTCAAACTCACAAGGATCCTCCTGCCTCTGCCTCCTGAGTGCTGGGATTAAAGGCGTGCGCCACCACCGCCCGGCACATGGTGCTGACAGCACCTAGATTTGTGACACCCCTACTCCACCCCCACTCCTGGAGAAAAGGAGCAAGAAGGGCAACCTGCCTAAGGAAAGCAGGTGGGGAAAAGAGTCTTCCTCAAAGCCATTCCAGGCTTACCCTCCCAGTAGGTAATGCCATCCTACTGTGTCAGCTCCACAACCAGGGAAACTGAGACTCCGGTAGCAACAGTGGGTACTCAAAGAGTTACAAGTTAGGGACAGAGAAAAGCCCCCCACCCTACGAGCACGGCCCTTGACTTACCAGGCCATTGCTAACTACATTCACTGAAACGGCCGACTTCACTTCCTTAATTGTGGAATTGCATTTAAGGAGCTCTGTCCCAGAGCAGTTGGGATTTGAACTCCTCAGGTCAGGGACAGAATTGTAGTGCCTCGCAGACATGGGCTTGCAGGGAGCGAGGGTGGCCTCCTTCTTGGAGTCCTTCTGGTGGAGGCAACTGGCAGTTTCAGTTTTCCTTATGCCTCTGATGTTCAAGAACAGGCCAGGTGTGCAGGATACTAAAGCCACTGGGTGGTAGCTCTGGGAGGAGGAAACCAGACACACAGCCCGTGGGGACCGCGGTCCTGTCCGCCATCGGACTCATCTGCACCCCAGGGAAGGTGCAAAAGAGGTGAAGAGAGAGGAAACAGGATGCACCAGAGACTTTCTAGTCTGGAACTCTTAGCCCAGGGTTCTGGAACCCTTACAAAAGCCCGTGGCTGGATTGGGGAGCGAGTCGTTAGCAACTTGACTGAGATTTCAAACAATACAGTGTGTACTTGATGGCAAGGTACTCCACAGCTTTCATCAGATTCCTAAAGAGTCTGTGACCCAACAGAGTTGAAAACCCCAAGCCAGCTCTAGTCCTGTCCTTCTATGTGAATCTTCAGGACCAAGGAGACAGTCAGGGATGGTGGCACACTCCTGCAATCCCAGCGTTCCGCTAGCAGGAGCAGGAGGATCACCAAAAGCTATAGCATGGCCTACAGAGTGAGTTCCAGGCCAGCCAGCTGGGCTTCACAGTCAGAGTGAGACATTTTGAAAAAACAAAAGATTAGAGGGAGGGGGCTGGCACTCTGGTGCTCTGTTAGCAGCCCAGGGTACCTGAGGCCCTGGTTTGGTCTCCAGCGTTTTACTAACCAGGCCTTGTGCCGCAGGCCTGTAATCCCAGCACTTAGGAGGTGGAGGCAGGAGGATCAGTTCTACATTATCTTATGCTACAGAACAAGTTTGGGGTCAGCGTGTGCTACATGAGACCCCCCTTAAACAAGCAAACAAACAAAAAACAAAACCCAAGAATGGTACGGAGATGTACAGAAAGTCATTCACGTCTTTTCACTGAGAACCAGAGGCGGAGGAAATAGAAGCCAAAGACTTAGCTCCCAGGACAACAAGGCAGCTCACCAAGGGCGGGGCCACCTTTTCAGGCATCCCCAGGAAGTATTCTGAGGACCATGTCTCCCAGCAGCCCTCCTGAGGGTCATTCCCACCCAGGTCAGAGATGAGGGCAGTAAATACACGTGGTTGTGGAGCACACTCCCTACAGGGGCTCAGGTCAGGCCCCAGCACAGCGAGGCTGCTCTGACTTCCAGAGGCAGAAAGGACAGACAAACCTGTGAGCATTCTCTACTGTCAGGATGGAGGGATCCTCTAACAGATTCTAACAGATGCCTGGTCTGTGTGCCTTCTAGATCCCTTCTTTATAGTTCAGCCCTTGGGCAGCCCATCAGTGAGTCTGTGCCCGGAGCAGAGGTCTCCGTGGTACCCTCCCACGGATAGGCCCAAGCTGGGGCAGGGTGCTGGTTACACACACACCCCCCTCATCTGAGTTTACTTGTTTGGGGGGATGGATGGCTGTCTTGCACTTCTGCTGCTGTCTCTGTTGCCTGGTTTTCAGGATCCTGTCTCTTGCCTGCTCACCCACAGACTCGCCCGGCATCTCTGACTTCTTCTCTTTCTTTAGGAATGATTTTTTTTCCTGTTTCTGCCTCAGCTCCTGGATCAGTTGCCTGTTGATTGAAGAGCAGGTGAGCATCATGGACGGGATGGAGAGGGGCTGAAGAGATGGCTCCGTGGTTAAGAGCACCTGTTGCTCTTCTATAGGAACCTGGTTCAAATCCCAGCACCCACATGGCAGCTCACTACTATCTGTAACTCCAGCTCCAGGGGATTCTGCAAACACTGAATGCACATACCGCACAGACAGAAAGTAAAATGAAATAGATGGAATGGAGAAACAGGGTCCCTGCACAGGTGACTGAAGGCCAAGAACAGCGTTGTGTAAGAAGGAGCCGTCCTTCCGACCATCCCCAGACTAGGGAATAGCACCCTTTCAAGGAAGGTGGCACAGTAAGGGGGGGGGGGCATTTACTTCCTCCTTCCCTGGAAAGAGGGCTTCAGTAGGAGGACTAAGGCCAGGGGCTCCCATGTTGGGCCACTTCATATGCTGGGCTCTCTGGCCAGTGAATCCTGCAACTGGACCAAAGGTGGTACACCAGGGCACATCACCTGGCCTCAGGAATCAGGAGACAGGGTAATCCTTCAGTGTCATCCGGTTCTATGACCTACTCTCTGCTCTGGCATCCCCTCTCATAAATGGGGACTTGGTGGGAACTGGACCTAACCGGATGGTTCTCTTCAAGCTCTTGGATTTCATATAGCCTAAACGCATAACACACTTCTGAGGCAGTGGGGCGGGCATCTGTCTCAAGGGTGAGTGTCTAATTTAACCACTCACGGCACTGTGGACTCTTCCAGTTCCTGGTCTTTATGAGACCCGGACCGAATGCTCTGCTGTCATTGCAAGGTTGGGAACTGAGACCTGGAAGTTCTCCCTGCCACCTGGGCCACCCAGTGGAGCAGATGAAGCACAGGTGGTCACTACAATCCCCAGTCCACCTCGGCCTGGGCGGAAGTTTTCCTACCGGGCATACAGTTCTCGGGCTCGGGAAGCAACAGTATTCTGGAAGAGGGAGCTGTTGTCCTGGAAGAACTTCTCGTACTTCTCCAAATTCAGACCCGGGTAGATGAGCCGGAACCCGCCACAGTTTTTCTTTTCATATTCCTCGGTTTTCTGTAACCGCACTGCCTGGAAACCCTTGACCTCTTCCATTCTGTTGGGAAAGAGAATGCAGGGCTGCCCTTGTGTCTTCTTGGAAGGGTCATGTCCAAGCTAGGGCCTTGCATGTAACAGCGGTTGATCAGGATTTGCCAAATAAAGGCAAGAATGTTTGGGAAAGGGGTTCCAACACTCCCGGGACAGCCGGCATCATATTGCTCCAGGCAGGCACTTGCAAGGCCTGACAGTTCCACCCAAGTTTCACCCACCTCCCCCTTAGCACAGTCAGACCAGGCAGACTGTCGCCACCTTCCCATCCATGGCCCCATTGCCCTTCTCTGGAGAACAGCAGCTTGTATTTTGCTAAATGTGAGGACTTCTGAGAAGGACTTAATGAGCCTTTATGAGCCAGGATGCTCTGAAGCATCCTCACCCCACCCCCCAGGAGGAGCTCAGCTTCCTACACTGTCAAAAACCACTGAGATTTCCAGCAGAGTAACACAAAAGAGGCCTTCGGTGTGCCAGCTGATACTTCTTCAAGGGCATCAGGGACAGCAGCACAGTACAAGGCCTGCTGGGGTCCCCGGCAGCAGGACCCTGGACTGTCACCAGTCAGTCGAATCTCCCCGTGACAGTCTCCTGACGGGAATCGTGGTGTCCTTGATTCCTTGGACAGAACCACACAGCGCGACACTCCACCTCCTTTCTACCCGGCACGTAGAGCAGGAATTACATGATAAAGTGGCCGAGAGCAGACACGTGATGGACTCTCCTAGGCTCTGAGAAGGGGTGGTGCAAACTGAAAAGCAACCAGGCACCACCTTGCATGGGCTCAGGGCCTCCTGACGGAGGAAGACCCCAGGAGAGACCAAAGCGCCAACTCCTGTCAGTACACAACAGGCTGAGTTGACAAAGCTTGCTTTCCAACAAAAACAAGAATTCTTTTGTTTCTTATACTAGGAATGTCTAACTCCACACATGATACTAATCAATTTATTTCATATAATTATATGTGTCCGCTTTAACCAGGAACAAAGACACACACAGTCTTAACAGAACTGTTCAAATTGCTAAATGCTCCACGGTAAAGTAGCTTTCCATACAGGATTCCATTGTTAGCAATGATCCACTCTATTGGGCATAGTGATACACATCTGTAATCCCAGCACTTTTGAAGCTGAGGCAGGAGGATTGCAAACTCTATGGGAGCCTAAGGTACATTTGATGCTACCTCAAAAAAACAAAACAAGAACACATGAAGAATGCATCAAAACAACAAACAAACAAAACTCCAAAAGATAAAAACCAAGGACTGGCTGAAGAGATGGTTTGCTACCTTGAGCCCAGCAGTCTCATAAAAAGCTGGGCGTGGCTGAGCATGCGCGGCTGAGCATACATAAGCATGTGCATGTGTGCAACCAGCCTAAAACCCTGATGCGGAAGTGGGTGGAGACAGGAGGATCTCTGGGCTCGCTGAACACCAGTCTAGCTCCAGAATCAGGAAGGGACCTTGTCTCAAAGGGCTGAGATAGAGACACACAGAATAGGATACCTGATGGCCTTCTGTGGCCTCTGCACATGTGTACATACCACACACACAAAACACACGCATACATACATGTGCATGTGTTAAAGATCACAGCAGAGACCCTGTCTCAAAAAAGAAGAAGAAGAAGGAGAAGGAGAAGAGGGAGAGGGAGAGGGAGAGGGAGAAGGAGAAGGAGAAGGAGAAGAAGAAGAAGAAGAAGAAGAAGAAGAAGGAAGAAGGAAGAAGGAAGAAGGAAGAAGGAAGAAGGAAGAAGGAAGAAGGAAGAAGGAAGAAGGAGAAGGAGAAGGAGAAGAAGAAGAAGAAGAAGAAGAAGACCACCACAACAGCAAAGCCAGGGAATGTAGCTCAGTGACTGAGTGTTTGCTGTTTGCCTACTATAGGTAATGTCTTGAGCTTGAGCCTAGTATTCCTTCCTACCAATTCCAAACCATTCTCTCTCTCTCTCTCTCTCTCTCTCTCTCTCTCTCTCTCTCTTTCTCTCCCAGGACCTTAGGCTTACTATTCAAGTGCTTCCACAATAGGATACAATTAGGTATGCATTTATTTAGTACATATGTATGCATATATGTATACATGCCACAGAGGGCACATGGAAGTCAAAGGACAACTTGGGGGAGCTGGTTCTCTCCTTCCATTGCACGGACTCTAGGGCTGGAATTCAGGTCATCCAGCTGACAGCATCTCACTGGCCCAACAGTCTAGAACCTTCACTTCTAACAAACTGTGGTGCCAGGCACTGTGGTAAAGCTTCATAGCATGATGTCATTCAATCCCCCTATTAGCTCATGAAAATGCAGTCCCACTTCACAAAAAGATCCCCAGAGCTTAAAGAAGTGACAGAAAGGCCACATAGTTGGTAGACTTTAGTCACCGCTGGGAGCAGCACAGCCAGCCTCACTGGGGGCGGGGCGCTGCTGTACCTGATCTCCCGAGAAGGGCACTGCTGCAGGAACCGTCCCCGCTCTCTCTCTTCCTCCAAGACTTTCTTTTTGTCACAGTTCCCCAGGTTGATGAGGACCAATACGTCATAGAGAAGACTGTCTTTCACCTCTTTATCCAGCTTGGAGTCAGTGGAGAAGCTTGGAGAATGGTTGACCTGTGGCAACAAAACAGCATTTGGGGATGAGGCAGACCAGTGTGAAAGCGGAGGTGAGGCCAAGATGCCTCCTCCAGGCCCCGGCTGTCAAGGTGACTGAAAGAGAGCTGAGAGAGGTCTACACTGGAGCCTTTGTGAAGAAAGCAGGGATAGCAGGAAGTAGAATTTCCTCTCGTGTAAACAGGTGGGATTTTGTTTGTTTGTTTTTGAAACAGGGTCTCTCTCTATTGCCTTAGCTGGCCTGGAACTCAGGATGTAGGCCAGGCGGACCTGGAACACAGATGCGCCTGCCTCAGCTTCCTGAGGACTGGGATTAAAGGCCGCACTACCGTTGTCACCAGCTCTTTATTCAGTGCCATCTCTTCTGGAAGCAGAGTTCCCGCTGGGCAGATCCTCTGCCACACAAGTGTATCCTCCCACTGCGCTCTCCACAGCCCAGAATGGGAGGAAGAGGCCTGCAGCGACGGGAATAACCAGGCAGGATTGCAACAAGGATAAGTGGCTCACGCCTGTAAACCCCCTCAGGAGGCTGAGGCAAGAGAATTGTCACAAGTTTGGGGCCAAACTAGGCAATGCATTGAGTTCCAGAATAACTTGTGCTCTGAAATGGCACCCTATTTCAAATAAACAAGCAAATACAAACAAAAGGTAGGAGAGAAGAAAGGTTGGGAGAAATAAGGAAAGGAAGGAAGGAATGGGGAAGGGAAAAGGAGAGAAGGGAGCCTAGCAGTGGTTGTGCACACTGTAATCCCAGCACTTGGGAGACAGAGGTGGGTGGATCTCTGAGTTCAAGACCAGCCTGATCTACAGAGCGAGTTCTAGGACAGACAGGAGAGAGATTCTGCCTCAAAAAGCAAAAGGAAAAGGGGATTGTGGAAGAGGAGGGGAGAGGAAAAGAAAAAGAGAAAAGAACACCGGAGGAAGTGAGACAGGCTTTAATCCCAGCACTAGGAAGGCAGAGGCAGGTGGATCTCTGAGTCTGGGTCCAGTCTGGTCTACAGAGTGAGTTCCAGGTCAAACAGGACTACATGGTGAGGAAAGAAAGAAAGAAGGAAGGAAGGAAGGAAGGAAGGAAGAAGGGGGGCTGGAGAGATGGCTCAGTGGTTAAGAGCATGGGCTGATCTTCCAGAGAACCCAGATTCAATTCCCAGCACCCACATGGCAGCTCATGCCTGTCTGTAACTCCAATTCTAAGGGATCCAGCATCCTCAGACATATATGCAGGCAAAACACTAGTGCACATAAATTAAAAATAAATACATTTTTAAAAACTGTAAAGAGAGTGAGGAAAGGAGAGAGCATAAGAGAGAAATACAGAGTCCTATTCTAAGTTTGGAAGCAGAGTGATTCATTCTAGAAAAGAAGAGACAGCTGAAGAAGGCTGGAAGCCTAGTTCCCGCCCACAAACAGTCAGTATTGCTCATTTACATTTGTGTTACATTTGTGGATTTCCAGCAGCTTCTGGAGGCTCGCTGCTGCCGCTCGTTCTCTCTTTGGGGTGGGAGCTCCAAACAGGGCCCCCGTCATGAACCTGAGAATAAGGGTTTAGTGCAAGGGAGGTCAGAGCCCCTGGTGTTCCAGCTGCAACTCCGTATCCTGTTCCTCGCGCATGTTGAATGGCTGCTTAAGGTTCCAGAGGACCAGTCTAGTCAGGAAGTGAAGCTGCTCAGAAATCTCTGCCTCTTTCCACTCTTGCATGGGGTTGAATCCCCTAGACCGGTGTCTGGATCTGGGCAACTCAGGTCCCCGAGAGCCAGGAGGCAACGCTGAGAAGGAACAGCCTCTTTGTGGGGAACACAGGAAGCAGAGTGGTCATTTCAGTCACTCTGGGCCCGAAACTGGTGGCAGCTGTAAAGGCACTAGGAATTCTCTAATTTCCAGCCATCTACCCCCCTCTGGTGGCCACTTCTCAAGCTACGCAGCACGCCCCAGGAACAGCAAGCACCATGGAAAGGAGGGGCGGGACTGATGGAAACAATACAAGTGAGCCTGGAAGACAGAGTCCCCAAAGCTGACGTACCCCAGTAACGGGGACAGCTCACACCCCTAACTTCCTTACCTCCAGCAGCCAGGGTTTGAGTTTGCGGTCCAACAAGATGTCAAAGCCCAGGATTTCGAAGCAGGCGCTGTTGACCGTGTGGCTAGGGAAGCAGCTGTGGTAGTTGTGCTTGATGATGGGGTGAGCCGAGATGAGTGTTTTGATGATGACATCCTCAATGGCCCTCCATATCTGCTCTACATCATAGCCGTGGGTCTTCATGTACAAGTTGAAGGTGGAGAGTTTCCTGAGAAGGAAGTACAGGGCATCAGGCAGGCAGGAGAGTTACTCCCTGTCAGTGACACCATTCACAGCATGGTGAAATCCAGAAACGTCTGGAGATGAAGGCTCCAGGTGCAGGGCTGAAGACCGCCCAGAATCCAGAGCGATACTGAGGCTGGATCCAAATGGGAGGGGTCCTGTAGGAGTCACAGCACCAGACTCCTCAGGCCTCCAGAACCTCAGGGCAGGCACAGATACACAGCCTGAGAACATTCTTTTAAAAAAAAAAAAAAGCATCTGTGGGCTGGAAAGAGAGCTGGGTATTGGATGGACAAACACGCACATGCACAAGCACATACACACGCACGCACACACGCGCACACACACTCCTCACATTACTGTTTTGCTTCTGTTTTGGCAGCAGTAAGTTTCTCAGCCTTTGGTGACCTTTGGAAACGTGGGATGGCTAGGTGGTGGTGGCGCAGGCTTTTAATCCCAGCACTTGGGAGGCAGAGGCAAGCGGATCTCTGAGTTTGAGGCTAGCCTGGTCTACAGAGCAAGTTCCAGGACAGTTAGGGCTACACAGAGAAACCCTGTCTAGAAAGGAAGAAAGAAGGAAACATGTGGGGGCCTTTGAAGGACACTGACACCTTGGTCACACTTCCATCCTCTGAGAAGATTCTGGGATCACTGAAAACAAAATCCTGCTTTAGAATTGCCCACAGACAACAGCAGCCCCAAAACATTTCCATACCTAGAGGCACTACCTGTCCCAGGCAATCTGTACTGTCCCCAATTTAAACACAAAATTCCACGTTCCTGGAAACCTCTCAGTCTCTGGTAGCCTACAGTGCCTGGTCACCCAGCCATAGAGAGAGGCAGCTGCCAAGGCTCACAGCCAGAGTTTGGTCTCAGCATCCACACGATGGAAGGAGAGAGCTGATTCCTATAGACTGTCCTCTGTCCTCACAGGTACACTGTGGCACCATGGCAACCCACCATGATGGTACCCCCAATAAATAAATGTAATTAAAATTTTGTTTCTTTGTTTTTCAAGACAGGGTTTTTCTATGTAGTGCTGGCCATCCTAGATCTCACTCTGTAGCCCGGGCTAGCATCAAACCCAGAGATTCACCTGCCTCTGCCTCATAAATGCTGGGATTAAAAGTGTAAGCCACCAGGCCCAGCTAAAAGTTTTGGGTTTTGGTGTTGGTTTTTTAAATGACACAGGGTTTCTCTGTGTAACAGCTCTGGCTGTCCTGGAATTCACTTTGTAGACCAGGCTTGCCTAGAACTCAGAGATTCACTTGCTTCTGCCTCCTGAGGGCTGGGATTAAAGGTGTACACCACCATTGCCTGTCAAAAATTATTTTTAAAAAAAAATCATTTCACTGGACTGCAGTGAGGGCCAGAAAGGAAGGAGCAGGCCTGCCAGCCAAGGAGCTTATATTAAGGGATCGTGCAAGTGAAGGTCTGTACAACTGCCACCTCTGTCCTAGGAAACCCGAGGACCACAAGTCAACACGCGTGAGACACCCAGGACGTGTTTATGTAAGGACAGATAAGCAAAGGCTCTCAACACAAAGGCCATTTCCCTCCCCTCCTTTGTCAGGCAGAAGCATTGTGTATAAACGGAATTTCTATATTGTTGGAAAAGCCAAGACTTTCTATTAGGAAAAAAAAACATTTAATTTGCCTAATTGGCAAATAAACTTCCCTGGAATAGGCTACACGGTTCCCTGGTTTCTTAGAACATGGGTTACAAAGCACAACATAACCTTTTCTTGATGACTCAGGGCCCATCACCATGAATATACTTGGCCTGGCAATTTCCTGATGCCCGGCTCACTTTAACATCAGGTCTGTGCCAGGAACGCCAAAAGATGACAATATCTGGTGTCTGGCCAGAGTCCCTCTGTGCTCACAATTTTTCTCTTTTTCTCTCCAACCGACTGAAGTCCTGCTCCCACTGACCTAGAACCCCATGGAGAAGGTGGCGGGGAGCTGGGAGTGCACTTTGCATCAGTTGCTAACTTTGAGGAGGCAAGAGAACATGAGGGAGGAGGCCTTTCAAGAAGAGAAAGAGAGAGGAGGAAGAAGGGAAGGGGGAGGGATGGGAAAAAGGGAAAGGAAGCGGGGAGAAGTAAGGAGCAATAAGAGAAGCGCACTGAAGAGCAGGATGCATTATGGGCTGAATGTGTCCCTCCAAGTTCAAGTGTCAGAAACGGGGCCTCCAATGCCGTACTGTTGGGAGACCTGACCTTTGGAAGGCCTCTGCCCTCTTAAGTGGATTAATCTGTACATGGTTGAAAGGGTTGTGGGTGTGGCTCTATTATAAAATCAGGCTCTCTGGCACACTTGCTGAGCTGAGGAGAGATGGGCCTCTAGGGGAGAGAGACTGAGCCAGAAGAGGCCAGGGTGGAGGCCCTGGGGGCAGATGACTGCTCCAGTGGAGAGCTGACCCAGAGAAGAGCAGAGTTCAGAGCCGGGACGGGGGGGGGGGGGGGGGGAGGGAGGAGAAGCTGCGCAGTATGTGAGACTCCATGCTAGAACACTTGTATAGCATGTGAGAGGCCTGGGTTAAATTCAGTACTGCCAGAGGGGAATAAGGCTCTCTCTCTCGCTCTCTCTCGCTCTCTCTCTCTCTCTCTCTTTCCGTGTGTGTGTGTGTGTGTGTGTGTGTGTGTGTTTCTATCTCTAGTTCCAGGATCTTACTATTATATAGCCCATATAAGCTAGCCTGAAACTTATAATCCTCCTGCCTCAGTCTAGAGAGCCCCTGAGTCCTAGGACCCAGCACCACCGTATGCCAACCACACCACAAAGCCTGGAAGTAATATCATAAAAGACGGCAAATAAAGTCTCTTAGACTACAGAAAATTAGTAGTGTCAGAATTCTAGGCTGCAGCACAGGTCACTCGAGTCTCACAGGGACACCATGAGGAGGGCAGGACAGGGCAGGGTATCTCACTGGTTTTATCTTAAAACCCAGGGATGGAGGCTCAGGAGACAAAGAAACTTGTCTAGGCTAACTCTGCAGATAAAGATCAAAGTGGGGGTGACTGGCAGGCCTGCCCGGCCAGGGGTGCTGAACACACATCAGTGCAGGAGGCACCATGGCACCCGCACTGGGTGGGAAGAAGTGACAGAGTTTCAGACATGGCGCTGGCATGATAAGGCACACCTGCAGTCTCAGCCCTTGAGGCAGGAGGATTGGGAATTTGAGGCTACCCTGGGCTTCAGAGTGCGTTCCAACCAGCCTTAGTTACATATCAAGGCTGGTCTCAAAAATACTTGGGGACCAGGAGGTGTTGATGGAGCACACCTTTAAACCCAGCACTCGGGAGGCAGAGGCAGGGGGATCTCTGTGAGTTCGAGGCCAGCCTGATCTACAAGAGCCAGTTCCAGGACAGGCTCAAAAGCTGCACCGAGAAAGCCTGTGTTGAAGAACAAACACACACACAAAACCACTTGGGGAAGTGAAAACGAGACGATCAGGAGGTAAAAGACACCACCTTAACCATAAGCAAATTTGAGGCCAGCTCTGGTACAACACACACAAGCATGCACACACGCACACACGCACACACACACACACACACACACACACACATATCCTCCTCCCAAGAAGGCTCTACCACTCATAGTCCATGTACTAAGATGCCCTATGCCTCCCTGCCCATGAGGTTGGCACAGTGAACAGAGCTGCTCAACCCAATTGTAGCACTCAGAGCTTAACCTCTCTGAGACTCAGTTTCCTCCTCTGTGAATTGGAGAGAAGACCTAATATCCCTCTACCCAAGTTCCTGAGTGCTCTGGTGTCACCCTGGCCAGCGTGGTGGTGAAAACCCAACAACGAACACACAGGCACCTGCACCGGCCTCCTGATGCTCCCTTGGCTTCCCCATCTCTGCCCAGCCAAGCTCATACGACTCAGTCTACCTTTCTCTCACACGCAAGCTGATGAGGCAATACCACGAGCAGAAAAGCTGCTTATGAGGGGAAGAAACCCAAACCCTCAGGAATCCCTTAATTTCCCCAATCTGAAGGCTGGCTAGTCAGGTGACTCCAGGGCATCATGACACATTGGTTGAGAATCTGTAATGGACCAACACCCCAGGGAACTACAGAGCGAGGGATCACAGCTGCCAAGTCCTTCTCACCGGGCAGCCTGGCAATCCCTAAAGGCTGTTGGTCTGGAAACGTCAAGAGGGCAACCGTAACAAGGTATGTTTCGAAGTGTGTATGTGTTCTGCCGGGGAAACCGTTTGGTTTATCTCCCTCCTCCCAGCCTCCCAGGGTTTACAGCATGGCCTCCTTTTAATGATTAACAGCCCAGAGCCCTGACATGAAATGAACTGTCTGTTCTGGGCTGAGAGGCAAAGCCGGCTTTGCCAGATCGTGTGACCCGAAGCGGAAATCCTGGCAGGGACTGAGTGGGTTTGAGAAGAGCCCTGGAAAGCCGAGTGAAGCGTCCATCCCTCCTACCTCTTGCTGCCAGAATGAGCGTCTTGAACGAAGTTGGAACTGTGCTTGTTAATGGAATAGTTCGTCAGGTGCATGCAAATCTCATCCTGGGGAAAGAGACACAAGACTGGGGGTCAGGCTGAAGCACAGGCCTCCTGTGTCCTCTCCACCCATTGTCCCCCCAACCCACCCCACCCCACCCCACTCCCATCATCCCTGAAGCCTAAAGGGATGGGGGGCAGGGAATTTATAGGCATATGTAAAGGGGCAGACAGGAGGTAAAAAGGGATATCCCATGGCCTCGAGTATAAGAGATTCCAACTCTGAGACTGAGGGAGGGAGAGGGAGATTGGAAGCCACCCATGGCCTTCTCGCCTCGAGCACCTCTGCATTGTAGTTCTGGTGTTGGTGTCAGGAAGGCCTGGCCATGCGTCCCACTTTCTAGCCGAGTGACCCCAGACAAGTGCCCTATACCCTGCAAGTTTGAATCTCATCTGTAAAACGGGGATAATAACCCCTTGGAGGGCTCCTGGGAGGACTAAATGAGACACCCATGGAACTTGGAACACAGTAAGTGTTCATCGGGTGTCTGCCAGCTCCGTGGTATCTGAGGATGCCCTCGTGCCAAGGGAAAAGGGAAGGCAGCCTGTCCCCTCAGCTCACCAGGTTGTCTGTGCTGGGGTGGGAGTAAGAGGTGGTGGCAAAGCGAGCCAGTCCTTCATTGTACACAAACACCCTGAGAGGGTCACAGGAGGTCACCAGCACGTAAACCCGCAAGTCAAACTTGAACCCGTCGATGATAAAGGGCTGGGTGAAAAGGAGAGAAGTCACACAAGCATCTGGAGGTGGCAGCCACAGGTAAAGGCGTCTAGCTCCCACCTCACTCTTGGAGCCAGCTCCAGCATTGCCTAGTGATGTAAAGTGCGGGCACGCCCAGTGTGGGGAGCAGGATAAAGAGGTTTGATCTCTCTGGGTCCTGACATCCGGGAGGTCACCAAACCACACTGCGCCTTGAGTTCCTGAGCTACGGGATGCTTAGAGTGCTTAGAGATGGCTGAGCAACTGAACAGAGCAGTTCAGAAATCCTTTCAAGACAGGACCCATGGTTTCCAGGGCAACATCACAGGTGCCTTCTCCAAGAGCTCTTTTCCCAAGGGGCTCCTGGACATTTTGTCTTGGGGAGGCCAGCGCCTCCTCCTTTCATTCACATTTCTAGAAGGAACCCTGTCTGCAGTGGGCTATATCACTGTGGTCTGGAACTTCCTCTGCCCGAGGCAGGGGGAAAAGCTGGTGACTATGAGCTCTTTCAGATGACTCCCCTCTCTCAAGTGAGGTGGGGACCCCCCCCACACCAAGCTTTCATCCACTTGAGCGGGAGGTCAGCCTGGAGAGGCTGCATCAGTGGTGGAGACTGCCCAGGCGAGCGAGGGACATCGTGACCCCAGAAGGCTTGGGTCTGAGCAAATCCAAGGCGCGAGGCAGACTCAGTTTCATCTCTGCCTTCCACTGCTTTCTGTCCCACAGAGCCCGAAGCTGCTGTGGGCAATAAATCTATAACGGCGGCGAGGAAGTACCTTTGAAATATAAAGCTGACAGATCATATCCTCCCCGGGCTTGATCTCTTTCACCGTCCGGGTGATGAATATGCCTCTCCCTTGGCAGCCCGAGTCCGGTTTGCAAATGTATGTTTTATTTTTTCTTGACCTGCTGTAAGTCTGCAAATCTCCCCAGCTGTCATAGCAGGGAGGGGACAAGACACACCGTTAGCTCGGGTGCAATGCGAAGGAAAACTATTTATCTTCTGTGTATGGGTGTTTTGTCTGCATGTCTGTCTGGGCACCGTGTCTGTGTGCCGGGTGCCTGAGGGGGCCAGAAGAGTGTGTTAGGTTCCCTGGGACTGAAGTCCCAGGCAACTGTGAGGCACCATATCCATGGATGCTGGGAATCGAACCTTGGTCCTCTGGAAGACCAGTAAGTGCTCTTAACTGCTGAGCCATTTCTCCCGCCTCAGGAGACTCTTTATGAAAACAGAAGAGAGAAGCTATGGATGGGTCAAAGCCCTGGTGTTGATAGACAGACACGCAGTAGTCCAGTTGTGGGAGACACCGAACTTCAAGGAAAACTGACATTGGCTTTGAACCCGGCCTACACCACATCCCAGCTGTATAACCCTTGACTGCTTTCGCTTCTTCATCTCCATCATCTCCGCCTTGTGAATAATGAGATGTCTCATGTGTTCCTCAGTTACATGACAGAAATTGGCCTGGGTGATGTGAGGTGTTCCGGGTAGCTTGACTTGGGCTTATGCATAGGAGATTTGGAGTTTTGCACCCGGCTTACAAAAGTGTGACTTGGACAAACATCTCTTTCTCCTGTCTGGCCTTCAGTGTCTCACTGTGATGCCTCCACTTAAGCCAGGAGGACAGGAAGGCAAATCACACCCTTGAATGTACTCTGAAGAAAGTGCTTAAGGCTGGAGATGTAGGTCCTCTGATGGAGTGCCTGCCTAGCATGCATGAAGCTCTGGGTTCAGTCTCCACAACCACATAGACTGGGTAGAATAGCACACATTTGTGATCCCAGCACTCACGCGGTGGAGGCAAGCAGCTCCAGAACCTCCTTATTTACATAGCAAATTCAAAGCCAGCCTAGGTTATATGATGCCTCAAAAAAAAAAAAAACTGTACTCAGAAGAAAGAAAGAAACTAAATTAAGAGGTTGGAGAGATGGCTCAGTGGTTAAGAGCACTGCCTGCTCTTCCAAAGATCCTGAGTTCAATTCCCAGCAACCACATGGTGGTTCACAACTATCAGTAATGAGAGCTGGTGCCCTCTTCTGGCCTGCAAGCATATATGCAGGCAGAATACTGCATACATAAGTAAACAAACAAATAAATAAATCTTTAAAGGGGCTGGAGAGATGGCTCAGCGGTTAAGAGCACTGATTGCTCTACCAGAGGTCATGAGTTCAATTCCCAGCAACCACATGGTTGCTTACAATCATCACTAATAAGATCTGGTACCAACTTCTGGCCTGCAGGGACACATGCAGGCAGAATATTGTATAAATAATAAATAAACAAATCTTAAAAAAATAAAAAAAAACTAAATTAAAAGTGACATGGTCAGCCAGGTAGTAGAGTGGAGTTCACCTTTAATCCTAGCACATGGGAGGCAGAGGCAGGTGGATCTCTGTGAGTTTGGGGCCAGCCTGGTCTACAGAGTGAGTTCTAGGGCAGACAGGAATATACAAAGAAAACCTATCTCAAAAAAAAACAAGACAACAACAACAACAAAGCAAGGATGTGTGAGGGGGCGGCGCTGGAGAGATGGCTCAGAGGTTAAGAGCACTGGCTGTTCTTCCAAAGGTTCTGAGTTCAATTCCCAGCAACCACATGGTGGCTCACAACTATCTATAAAGAGATCTGGTGCCTTCTTCTGGTGTGCAGGCACACATGCAGACAGAACAGAAAGTAAAGGAAGGAGGAAGAAAGGAGGGAGGGAGGGAGAGAGAGAAACAGAGAGAGAGAGAGAGAGAAGTATGGTGATATGGGGGTTGGGGAGATGACTCAGTGGTTAAGAGCACTGACTGTTCTTCCATGGGTCCCAGGTTCAATTTCCAGCACCCATATGGCAACTCACAACTGTTTGAAACTCCAAGATCTGACACCCTCACACAGACATACATACAGGCAAAACACCAATGTATATAAAATAAAAATAATGTTTTTTTAAGTGATATGGTGGTATGTACCTGTGCTTCCAACATTTAGGAGGTGAAACAGGCAGACTGAGAGTTTGGGCTAGCCTTGGCTATATACTGAGGTCTTTTTTCAAAAAACAAAGGTGGGCCGGGTGGTGGTGGTACATGCCTTTCATCCCAGCACTTAGGAGACAGAGGCAGGCAGATCTACAGCCTGGTCTACAGAGTGAGTTCCAAGACAGCAGCGGGACTGTTACATAGAGGAAACCCTGTCTCGAAAAACCAAAGGAAATAAAAAATAAATAAATAAAAATTAAATAAAGGTGGATGAAAAGGAAAGAAATCGAATTAATGGATTATATGGGTCTCAGTCTTGCCATGCACATGTTTTGTGCTTTATCTCAAAGGAATCATCCGTCCATTGAAGAAGTCAGCGAACTACAGTGTCCACAACTGTGAAATCTGGAGGGTCCTGCTGTCGGAATGGTAAACACGCTTCCTTTGAAGCTGATGACGCTGAGCCCAGAAGACTGTTCAGACACGTTAGAAGGAGTCTTCAAGCACCAGGGCTCTTAGCTTAGGGAAGACTGGTGACGAGGAGAGAGTGGGATCTTGTGCTCTGTGAATGCAATTCTTTTTAAAACATCTTAGATTTTTAAATGTTTATGTGTGAGTTTTGCCTCGAAGTATGTACATGCACCATGTGGATGCTGGGGCCGAAACCTGGGTCCTCTGCAAGAGCAACAAAAGCTCTTAGTTGCTGGCTCAACTCTCCAGTCCGTTTGAATGTCATTCTGAAGGTGACATTTCTTCACCGCCACCACCCCTTCACAAAACCTCATTGGACCCCGGGTCTTTTTTTGTTTTTTTCTTGCTACATAGGGAAGGATCTAGAGCAGGGTTCTCAACCTGTGGGTTGGGACCCCTTTGGGGGTTGAATGACCCTTTCACAGGGGTTACCTAAGACCAGAGGAAAACACAGATATTCACAATCTGATTCATAACCGTAGCAAAATCACAGTTACAAAGTAGCAACAAAAACAAGTTTATGGTTGGGGGGTGGGAAATTGTATTAAAGTGCCGCAGCATTAGGAAGGTTAAGAACCACTGACCTAGAGAATTGCACATTCTGGGAGTGGATGTCTACTTTGGAAGGAAGGGTTGTCGGCTGCTCATGCCGTCAAATGGGACAGGCTAGGCAGCCTTCTTTGTTCCTGCTCTACGATCCAACCACAAACTCACTTTCTCCTGAGAAATTCAGAAACTGCACAAGGAAGCGGTTGGAATAAGTTCAAATCCAACAGCTTTCAAGGTCAGAACAAACTTTCATCCTCACTGTGGGTCCAACCTCCAGGGCACTCAGCCCCTAATTGCCATTTCATTTTACAGGCAGAGCCTGTGTTTTCTCAGCCTTGGACACACCCTTTACCTTTTTCTCTCCGAACAGTAGGAAGAAATATAGAAGGTCACATGGGAAGGGAGAGTGGCAGCCAGGGAATCAGGGCGAAGAAAGAACAATGGGACTCGGAGGAGAGATGGAAGTAGCAAGTAGTGGGGACTTACTCAGCGGGAAGACACCAGGTCCTAGGGAAGAAATGGAAGTCCTTGGGAAATAGCTTTAGCATACGACTCATATTCCGGGCCAGCAAATCCTTGCGACAGATCTCACTCATGCCAGGAAAATGATTGATTTTCTGCAAAGGAAGCCGGAATTCAAGAGCGGTTCTGGCTGCGTGGAAGCGGGGCTGCGGGAGGGCTGTGATCAAAATGGGGTCAGCTTTGGCTAGACGCCACCCATCCGGGGAGGAACGCACCTGGTAACTCTTCATTTCCATTACGCGCTCCAGCGACACTGAGTAGTCGGTCCAGTAGAGAGTCCAGTCATCATTGTCACCGGCCTCTCGAAGGCCATACTGCTGGGCAGCCCTGCGCACTGTGAAGGTGTTAAAGAAAGAAAGGTCTACGGGTCCCAGAAGCAGGAATGAGCTCCATGTGGGGATATCTCGTTTCCATGCGCTCCCAGACTGAGTATTGCAACAAGAGAGCTGACTCCTTGGGACCGGAAGCCATCTTGCCTCGTGGGCAGGGCAATGAAAGAGTGTAAAGAATAGAAATATCCCGGGCTATAAGGGATGGATGTCAGGCCTAACCTGGTTTCCCTTTCCCAGGAAGCAGGCCTCTGGCTTGCCTCCAAACACTAAACCCTGAATGTAAAGCAATCCTTAACCATAATCTAGAGCCAGGCTTAATCAGTGAGATAAATTGGTGGGGAGAAAACACAATGAGTCTCGGGCTAGCCTGAGCTACTTAGTGAAACCCTGCCACAAATACATATGTATATAAATTAAGACTATAGGTGGTGCACGCCACTGTGGCCCAAACCTGCGACTCTTAGAACGAGATTTCCCAGTTTCCTCTAACAGTCTGTGGAGCCAGGAGAGCCAAGGATTTGAGGCCCTGTTTTTTCACCCTTGGGGAACACACAGGAGTGACCCATTCCCACCCTTCCGTCCCCATCCTGGATCCCTTGAACACAGATGCTCACCGCTGTCATACCGGCAGTTGGATAGATTGATCACCAATCATCTGGAAAAGAGAAAAAGGCAAACAGCAAGACAGATTCCCTGACCAGAACACACATGCCTCTGCTGCCACACCGAGCCCGCAGGGCCTGCCCACCCCATCACTAAGGATGGGGGTGCGAAGCGGTGCCGGGTGGCAGGAACCGTGGAGTTGTAGTTCCATTACAACTTATCTATTCTGTTATTATTTGTATATGCTTATACATTCTGTTACTTTCTATACATTACAGTTAGGGTTGATTTTGCTTTGGGCTTCATGTTAACATCATTGCCCCCACCCCCTTTTTAATTTTGTCAGCAATGGAATTTGAACCCAGGCCCTCCCACCCAAAAGGTAAACAGTCTTTAACTCTAAGCTACATTCCCGGGGCCCCTATGCTTTAACACCGTCAGCCCAACAGGGACAGGGATTTTAAAAATCACACATTTTGGCTAAAATATTGTCTCCTCTCCCCACTAAGGGAAGCTATTTAAAAAGCAAACAAGCTCTCGGCAAGGCACAGCCGAGTGTGAACCCAGAACCAGACCGCACAGGCTGCAGCCGGGGCTGGAAGTCACCGTGGTCCTGTTACCTGGGAAGTATGTCAAATTCCCAGGACCTGCGCACGCCCGCGCTGGCGCTTACACACCTTCAGTCAGGAGCTCCCTCCCCACCCAGTCTTTAAAAAGCACTTACACACAAATAGTGCGAACACTGGAACAAGGTGTGACTCCAGGTTATACACGCTATTATGAGAGTCCATAAAAAGAACACTGAGTGTGGCTTCTTTTATGTCAACTGAAAACAGTGTGGTCTTGACAAGCCAAGCCCGTGGGGTCTCCTCCTCCTCTCAGCCGCCAGGGCTCTCTTCCCTCCGGTCCTTCCTGTCCTCTTCAACACCGATCCCGTCCCCATCTCCCCCTCCCCCCGCCCCCACCCTGCCTCCTCGTTTTCCGATACTAACCTTTTTCTCTTCCTCTTCTTCTTGCCATGCTGCTGGGCATTCTGAAGCCTCTTTTGTGTGTTCTCTCTCACAAAAGCCAGGGTGACAAATTCTTTCAGCTCTTCTAGATCGTCTGTAGAACTACTACTTTCCTCCTCCTCTTGGCTCCCTTCCTCACTTTCCGAAGTCAGGCACTGTGGCATCTTCCTAGCCCTGGAGGAGGCTCTGGGGAAACACCAGCCCTCCCTGGAGAGAGGGCAGAGCGAACAGAAGTTGCGTGGTTCCACCTGCAGGGGGCCCTCCTCCCTTGCTCATCTGGGCGATGAACCAGGGTTCCCAAACAACGGACAGAAATTTAAAAGAAAAAAAAAATGCAGCCCTCTCCAGCTAAGCTCTTGGTGCACGCTAATTCCACCTTTGCCAAGGGCTCTGACCTCGGGGACTCACTTAGCCAACCGCGGCCTTGGTTTTGGCCGTCTGGGGTTTTCGGAGAGAGTCTGAGCCGCTCCGCACGATACTACCTGGTAAACAAGCTTATTATTAAAGCGTACCTCTGGAGACAGCCTCAGAACTAAGCCCCAACGGTACTGAGTCCCGAGGGTGTACTGGAGGCGGGCTGAGTCTGTTAACCGTTGCCAGGCTACATTCAATCTTCCACACAGCAAGATGCAGGCATGAATTAGGGCACATAGGTGGTTGCGAATCCATGGATGTGGGTACGGAGCTGGAATGGAACTCAGGGCTTCTGGAGAACTATTACCTGCTCTGAACTGCTAAGACATCTCTCCAGCCCCCGAATATATATTAAAATATATCCAGTGTTCAGCCTCCACAGCTCTTTAGGAATGCACTTAGTCCATCCTCTACCTAAGCCAGGTCTTTGGGCCCCATTCAGATCACACCCTCACAGGTAAGGCTCCTATGGCCATAAACTACTCCCATTTCCTCTCTTCTTCCCCCCACCACCCTCATCACCCCAGCCCCTCTCCTTTGATGGCCACAGGCCTTTTGCTCCTTGCTACCTGTTCTAGTCACACACTTGCTACCTGTTCTATTCTTTGGATTAAAAAGGGAAAAAAGATTATTATCATTCAGATTATTATTGCAATCATGTTAAAGAAGACCTTAAAAATGAGAGGGCAGCTGGGTGATGGCGGCACACGTCCTTAAACCCAGCACTCGTGAGGCAGAGGTAGGCAGATGTCTGTGAGTTCGAAGCCAGCCTGGTCTACGGAGTCAGTTTCAGGATAGTCAGGGCTACACAGAGAAACCCTGTCTTAGAAAACAAACAAACAAAAACAACCAACAAAAAAAGGAGGGTAGACACCACCTGTGGCTTGCCTACTCTAACAAAGCAACTTTGCCTTGGCTATGAATTCTCTCTAATTCTTAAATTCTAATTGTAATTATTCTGACACTATATTAACTACTTTTTTAAACTTTATTTAGCTTTTATTTCATGCGCATTGGTATAATGATGTCAGATTCTTTTGAACTGGAGTTACAGACAGATGCGATCTGCCATGTGGGTGCTGGGAATTGAACCCAGGTCCTCTGGAGGAGCAGTCAGTGCTCTTCACCACTGAGCCATCTCACCAGCCCCTATATTAACTATTTTTATGGCTTCTTTCTGCCCATTTAATGTCAAACCATAAAGGCAAAGGTCCATTTATGCTGACAGAATTTGCGTGTCTCTTTAGACGTGAGTCTGGATTCAAACCCAGGTAGTCAGGCTTTTGGTGAAGCACACTTACTGCTGAGTCATCTTAATGGCCAGCATATTCCTGGCTTTTAATGGCTATGAAACATTCTGTAGAAGGAATGTGCCTAAAGGAAACCAACCCTTTTTGTATTATTGGACAAATAAGTTGCTTCCAATTTTGCTGTTATCTAAATATCCTAAAACACTGTCAAGCTGGGGTTTGGTTACTACAGAATCTGAGGCAGGAGGATCCCTGAACCCCATCTCCTAAAGAAGAAAAACAAAAAAAAACATTTTCATGTACAGAGGGTCTTTCACTTCTTTGGGGATTGTTTTGTCTCTTGTTTGTCTGTTTGTTTGAGACAGAATCTCACTATGTAGCCCAGGCTGGCTTGCAACTCACGGCAATTCTCCTTTCTCGTTCCCCCCAAAGGCTGAAGTTACAGGTGTGGTACCCCCACACCCAGCTTTTGAAGTTGATTCTTCTTTTTTCTTTTTGGTTTTTCGAGACAGGGTTTCCCTAGCTTTGGAGCCAGTCCTGGAACTAACTCTTGCAGACCAGGCTGACCTTGAACTCACAGAGATCCGCCTGCCTCTGCCTCCTGAGTGAGTGCTGGGATTAAAGGCGTGAGCCACCACCGCCTGCCCGGCTGAAATTGATTCTTGAGCCTGCAATTCCTAGCACTTGGCAGGTGGCTGCAGGAGGGTCAGGAGTTCAAAATCATCCTCAGTGAAGTTATTAGAGGCCAGCCTGGACAATGAGACTCTGTCTTCAAAACAAAAGACAATATTCAGGGATTAAATGGCTCAGAAGGTTATGTAGCTTCTGGTTTTGTGTGTGTGTGTATGTGTTTACCATATTACATCCCAAGGGAATTTTAACAATTTCAGCTGACTATCTTCAGCAATAGGCAATTATAGCAGTCTCACCAGGGCCACTGGGTCTCCTGGGAATCATCTCCCTTTTCCATCCAAACTCGCTAACTCTAGACAACACTGCAAGCCCACAGCCATGTCTTTGACACCATGGCACCCTTTCACTTTGCCTGAACCCACCCTGGTGGTGACAGGTAGGGCTCTAACTATGAAGGCTACCTAGGAATAATTTCCCAATGACCCGCCACGTGACATATTGCTGTGACTTTGCCAAGGATTTTTAAATACATCTTCTGAGTAAATGCTCACCACCATCCCTGGGAAGGAGGACAGACCTGGCCAAGGGCTGTGCTTTTTCCTTCACTCTTGGAAAACACGGTTGCCCTCAGGACAAACGACAGAGAAAACCTCGGTTGGTCACATGAGTCAATGTCCCGAGTGAACTTGGCAACGTTCAAGAAAACAGGGGAACATCCAGTCTTGGCCTTGGGCTGCTCCCTTCCTCACAGGTAAACGGCCAGTTCCACTCCCCAGGCCTTCAACAATGCGCCTCTTTACCAAGCCCTTGTGCAGGAGCGGCTCGTTTACCTAAAGGTTAATGTTAACTTGGGGGAAAACTGACCCCAAATTTGAACTCTGGAATTGTGGGTTGTTGTTGCCTTTTTTAGGACCTTGCCTCAAAGAACAGAACATGAGGGTGTTCAAAACAAATAAATAAATAAAAAGCAGTTGTGGGGCTGCAAACCATGAATTCTAGACTAGAGGGGCTTTTTTAAGTGATGGGGCCCCGTGACAAACGCACACAGTCAAACTCCGTTTGCTCTTGTGTGGCAGAGCCCCAGCACACAGAACAGGAGACCAAACCCATGCACTTTTAGAGGGATGGGTCATCACGGCCTTCCTGCCTCCATCTGGCCTGGCCTGTACTCTAGGCTACACACAAGAGCCACCTAGGGGGAACCTGAGACAGGAGCAAAATGGCAAGCAACAGTCCTGCTACATGCAAATGCCCTTTCTTTCCTCATGTAAATTAGCTTGGTCCCTCTCTTCAGATTTATTTATTTATTTACATATTCATATATTATGTATGCAGTGTTCTGTGTGCACACCAGAAGAGGGCACCAGATCTCATTATAGATGGCTGTATGCCACCATGTGGCTGCTGAGAATTGAACTCGGGACGTCTGGAAGAGCAGCCAGTGCTTTTAACCTCGGAGCTGTCTCTCCAGTCCTCATTTATTTTCATTTTATGTGAATGCGTGTTTTGCTTGCGTCTGTTTGGGCAACACATCTGTGCAGTGCCTGTAAAGGCCAGAGGAGGGCAGCAGATTCTCTGGAACTGAAGTTACAAATAACTGTTAGCTGCCAGGCAGATGCTGGGAACCAAACGCAGGTCCAGTATGCCTAGCCCGTGGTGATTGTTGTTTCCTGGCTCAGATTCTCAAGAGTTAGGATTACAGATGTGAGCCACCATGCCCCCTTCCCTTGCTTTCTCTCCCCTTAGATTCTACAACCTGTTTCATGTCCAAGCCTGAATCCTTCTGCCTTCTCTCCAAACGCTCCTGAAAGAACATCTTTTGCGGACTTTCACCCCAAATCTAGCCTGCAGAAGCATCCTCCTGACTCATAGGAGAGTTTGACTATTGCTACAGTTGCTCAGTTAGGAGTACTTTCCAAGAAGTAGAAAATGCACATTTTTATTAAAAACACAGATTCCTATTTCTCTTGTCAAAGTAGGTCTACATTCCTTCATGCCAACAATTACGAGCAGCCGAGTGACTCCTTAATATTTCTTTCACATTTCTGTAGTGTCTATGACACAGAAACCATGCGGCAAGTAGCTCTGTTTATAGCAGCTCTCTCTGGTCTGCGCATGTGTGGGGTGTGTGTGTGTGTGTGTGTGGGGTGTGTGTGTGTGTGTGTGTGCATATTCATGCAGGTGCATCTGCCCATGCATGCATGTGTAGAGGGCAGAGGTCAATGTCTTCCATTGCTCACCACTCATTTTTTTGAGGCAGGATTTCTCACTCAACCTGCAGCCTGCCATTTTGGTTCAACTGGCTGGCCAGGGAGCCCGAGATCTGCCTGTGGCTGCCCTGCCCTTGCTGGGATCAGAGAGACACTGGGGACTCGGGTCCTCATGGTCACCCGGCCTCCAAGTACTGGGTTTACAAACTTGCACTACCACACTTAGTTATCTTTTTATGTGCATGTACAGGTGTGTGTGCATGTGTGCGTGCGTGTGCACATGCCATGGCAAGCTGTGGAGGTCAAAGAACAACTTTATTGAAAACAGTTCTTTCCTTCAGCCATGTGGATCTCAGGGATTAAACCTGGGTCACCAGGTCCTTTTGCCTTCCGAGTCACCACCCACCCATTCCTCTGTTTCTTGACCAAGGGTGAGTGTATCCATTTTCTCATAAGGCCTAGAACTCTATGTAGCAGTAGACAGCCTTCAGTTCAAAGCCCCTGCCTCAGCCTCCTGAGTGCTGGGATCCTAAACTGAGTCATCATGCCTGACCTGATTTTCTCACTGTTACTACAGGCCTGACCACATCACAGATGAACTTACTAGTTTTGTTCCTGCATGGTACTAGCCTGTCAGCAGGGGGTCTGTTTGCTTTGTTTCCTTTTGTAGGACTGGGGATTGAGCCCAAACCTCACACAGGATGGTGGGTGAGCATTCTGCTCCTGAACCCTACTTTCCTTTTTTTTTTTTTTCCAGGCTGCTCTGACTTAGAATCAAAGCTGCTTCACTCAGGGCTGAATAAAAAAACATTCATCTTTGTTATATGGGGATTGAACCAGGGCCCTTAAAAAGCTAGGTACATGGTCTACCATTAATCCATACCCCACTAGCCGCCTCAATCATTTTAATTTTCTGATATCAGAAAAATAAATTAGAATTGACCCAGCTAAACCCAGGCTGGACTCAAGCTCGCTAAGCAACCAAGAATGACCTTTAATTTTTTCCTTTTTCTTTTTTTTCCAAGACAAGGTTTCTCTGTGTAGTCCTAGCTTTCCTGGAACTTGATCTATAGGCCAGGCTGGCCTTGAACTCACTGAAATCCACCTGCCTCTGCCTCCCAAATGCTGGAATTAAGGTGTGAGCCACCACACCCAGTTTATGGAACACCGAGGATCAAACCCAAGAATGGTTTAAAAAAAAAAACCAAAAACCAAAAACCATGTTCTAAGAGCTCAAGGAATTCCTCAGTGCTAAGGGAGGGAGAGACCTTGAAGAAAGTCTACCACCCACTTACTCTGGGAACAGCTTTCTCTCAGGCAAAAGCCTGCACACATTGATGCGTGCCTGGATTAGGGGAGGGGAACTGATCATAGCTAAGAGACCAAGTCCTGAAAGCCAGGACAAAATTCCAGCCCCCATCCCATTGTTTTTCTTTTAGCGTAGACAGCAGGCAGACAAAATAAACCAAGACCCTTGGAGAGCTTGGGAGAGAAGGTTAAACTCAGGCACTGTGGTGTGTGCCTACAACCCAAGTGTGTGGGAGACTGATAAAGGATCACCAGGAGTTCCAGGCCAGCCTGGGTTAGAAGCAAAAAGCCTGTATATAAACGTGTGTGTGTGTGTGTGTGTGTGTGTGTGTGTGTGTGTGTGTTAAGCAAGATGATATACAACTTTAATCGCAACACTTGGGAAGCAGAGGCAGTCAGAGTTCTGTGAATTCAAGGCCAGCCTGGTCTACATTGTAAGTTGCAGGCCAACCAGAAATACATAGTGAGACCCTACCTCAAAAGCTTAACAAGTGGGGTGGTGGGGGTGCACGCCTTTAATCCCACCACTTGGGAGGCAGAGACAGGCAGATCTCTGTGAGTTCTAGGCCAGACTGGTCTACAAAGTGAGTACCAGTACAGGCTCCAAAGGTACACAGAGAAACCCTGTCTCTAAAACCCAAAAAACAAAAGCAAACAGCCCCCCAAACAGAAGACCAAAAGACACTAATGACTCCTCCTCCCATGTTAGCGCGGGTTTGATCTTGAGACCTTCCAAACCAAGACTAACCAATCGAATCTAGACAGACAGCCTGGCAGTGCCGTCTGTTGGCCACCAGGGGGAAGCAATGAGTACTGCCATGGCCCGAGCAAACGTTCTGCAAGTTGTTTGGGAGAACAGTTGGTAACTAGGTTATTTTTCTTTTATTTACTTATTTCTTTTTCTTTCTTTCTCTTTTTTTTTTTTGAGGGAAAGTTTGTGTTTGTTTTTTTGCGTTTTGTTTTTGTTGTTGCTTTGTGCGGTAGGGTCTCCTGTAACCCAGGCTGGCTGGCCTTGAGGCTTTTGTGTTCACTTCTGAGGGACTGTAAATGCTTTCTACTCTCCGTCCCCTGGCACCGGTCCAAAGGGTGGAAAACTTTTTAGGCTTTCTTTTGCAAGACTGAACGAATACCAGAGTCCCCTCCACAGCAGGAAAGGATGGTTGGAGGGCTCATTAACAAGAACGCTGTGGGGCGCTATCTCAGCAGTCAGCTCAGCTCTTTCAACTCCGAGTCTCACAGGCTATACTTTTGAGTCGCAGGAACAAATACAGAGTCAAAGGCTTTCCTGTATTGTCTGCCCATGACTTCCTTCTCCTTCCTCAACAATAGACTCTCCTTCATCAACCCCTTCCCGTCCTTTCCCTACTGGCAGCATCCTTATGAAGGTCTCCAGTGGAACCATTGGGAAAATATCCAGTGTATAAAAGAAAAAAAAGTGGCAGTGAGCTCTCCGGATCTAGTTTTGGTTTAGCCTTCTGAATAAACAGAGCACAAACAGCTGAGTTATTATTTCCTTTTTCCTTTATGTGTATGTGGGTGGGCGGGTTTCAAGACAGGGTTTCCCTGCATAACAGTCTTGGCTGCCCTGGAACTCACTCTGCAGACCAGGCTGGCCTTGAACTCACAGAGACCCCCCTGCTTCTGCCTCCTGAATGCTGGGATTAAAGTTGTATGCTACCACCGCCTGGCCAGAGTTATCATTTCCTTATTCATTCTCATCTTCTCTGTGAATACGGGAGCACCAGGAGGATAGAAACGTCACACCTAGAGGTACAGTGGCTCCTCTGTGTAAGCCCAGGACTCAGGAGGCTGAGGCAGCAAGAGGGCTAGGGAGAGCTGGGCCTACGTGACAAGCTCCAGGTTAGCTTAAGAAACGAAACATAGGAAGACTCTCAGAAAGGAGCCAGAGGAGGACCTAGTGATTTAATTAGATCTATCCAGGCATTCCAGCTAGCGCCAAGAATAATAGGCCAGGCCAGACTTACTGAGGACAATAATATTCTTGCCCACTCAGATGTCACCTTTTACTCTGCTAGAAACGGTAAATTTGTGATATTAGAAGATGCAATTTTCTTTCTTTCATACATTTGTTTGCTTTTAAGATGTAGTTTTCAGGGCTAGAGAGATGGCTCAACAGCTAAGAACACTGGCTGCTCTTCCAGAGGACCCAGGTTCAATATCCAGCATCCACATGGTGGCTCACAACTGTCTGCAACTCCAGTTCTAGGGATCTGACACCCTCACACCAATGCACATAAAATAAAACTAAATTATTATTTTTAAAAATGCAGTTTTCAGGCCAGGGTCATGGCCAGCCATTTTCTCCATGACACTCAGGAGAATATTAGCCAAGACAAACCTGGGTCCACATACCATCTCTGTTTGCTTTTCCTTTTCATAGGGTTTCCCTACACAGCCTAGGGTGACCCCAGTTTGTAGTTCTCTCGCCTCAGCATCCCACGAGGCTGAGATGGCGGATGAGTGACAGCCATGCCTTGCACTCTCTTGCTTTCTACAGTGGTGACCCTGGGTAATGGCCTCTTTATACCTCACTATCCTCCTAAATAAATGGACACTACTCATCTCGTTCTAAAGACCCAGCTAGTATTTTTACTGTTCTTCAAGCAGTGCGTGGCTCAAAATAAGTACCATATTGTCAGGTGAGGATGTGGGGAAGGGGTTCAGTGTTGAAGCACCTGTCCAAGTCCCTGGATTCAATCCCCAGTACCCCAAAATGATGATAGAACTGGTACAAACTCTAAATAAAACTGTTGGAGCTCCTGGCACATAATAGTAATTAATGAACATTTAGTTCCCTTTCATTCTCAAATGTAAAGGATATCTTTCCCTGGGGCTCAACTTCTAGATGGCTTTCTCGAGGGTAGAAGATTATTCAGGACGGGTCGATGTAGACATAGGGTTGTTCCAGGCATGAAAAATAAACGAACAAAATTGTCTTTCTGTAAGGACTCTTCGGACAAAGGAAGAAAAATGATAACGGACCCGGGGGGAGGGAAGATGTCCCAGAGATGATTGGTAGCTAAGGGCCTGCCCCCAGGTGGCCTTTGGTTTGAAAAATCGGGAAGAGAAGAGAGTACTAGCGCCTAGCACCAGGGACAGAGAAGTGATGAACTACGTCCAGAACCTACGGTTCTTGAGGGTGAGAAGCTGGCATCGTGGAACGCCACCGAGAAAGTCAGAGGGGTGGCCCTGGGTAGAGCCAGTATTTAGGGAGACGGCACCAGGAGGCGGCGATTTAGGGCCAGCACCCGGTTTCCGAGCTTTCTTACCCGCGATTGCTACTGCCCCGGCTCTCCCCGGCTGGACGACTCTGATCTCTCGTAACCACCCTAGCTGACCCACACCTCATCGGTGCAAGGATCCAGGTTCCCTTTGGCTGCCACATGGTCGGTACGGTGACCCCCAACCCGCGCCCCTCCTAACCTCGAGTCCGCCCGGCCCCCATATTTGCATATAGGGCCTCCCAGGGTTTCGATTGGCCCCTGCAGCAGGCGGCCATGCCTCCTCCGTTGGAAATCTGATTAACCGTTGCGGCGCCCGCTGAGGGTAGCGCCTAGGTTGTCCCTGGAGACGCGGAGGACGCTCTGACTGGCCCCGCCCCGTCCGCGTCCCCGGCAGGCGTGCCAGTGGGTTCGGGCGTTGTGGGGACCCCTGCACAGATGCAGGTGGAACGTCGCAGTCCAAAGCAGCTGCTCTTCAGGTCGACTGGAAGAGAGGCTTGTTTTGCGTTTAGATTCTCTAGAGAAGGTACTTATTCCAGATTAGAAGCTGGATGCTCGGCGAGAGAGCCGTGGATTGAAGGGGCGAACTCAGTAGTTTATCAGACATATTTGTAACTGTAGGGGCTTCAGGCTCTCCGAGGGTTAACTTTTTTCACAGTAAAATGAGTATTGCAAAGCTATAATGAGCCGCTCGGACATTTTGAATCATGATGTCCCCTCCAGAATTTGAATGGGTTTGCCCTGAACTGACACGTAAAAAATCTGCCCACACCGACTGAAGAGTCAGTGAGACTTAAGGAGGAAGGAGGGTAGGGATCTCATTTGATTGTATTTATAGTGGGGAACCTCGGTAGTGACTGGATTCCTCCTGTTTTGACCTCTACTGCCCACCTGCCAAATTGCCTGCAAAGGGGTTGATCCACGGCTTTGAACAGGCTAGGCAAGCCCTCTGCCAATCAACTGAGCTACAGTTCCACCTTCCTCTTCATTCTTCTTCTTCTTTTTTTATTGGTGCTTGACTTGATGTCGCTGAAATGTGGCCATTCCTTTGATAAAGGTTTAGACTCGAGAAATAAGACAGTGAACGATCCGTACTGCTGAGAACTTTTGCAAGCCACTTGAGAGGAAACACAGGCAAGAGAAACACAGAAACATTATCTGCAAGCATTAAGGGAAGTGGCAGGAGCCACGTGTCTGATGGAGAGACTGTCCAGATTAATCCAGGGTTGTTGCAGAATATTCCTTTACCCTGTGCGACGATGTGTCACGGTGATTGATTTAATAAAGAGCTGAATGGTCAATAGCTAGGCAGGAAGAAATTAGGCCGGACTTCTGGGGACAAAGAGGCTCAGAGGAAGAAGAGAGGCGCAGTCACCGGCCAATAATCAGTCTCCGTGTTCCTCTTTGGAAGCGGGCAGTACAGGGAAAGACTTGCTACAGGTCTCAGCAGCTTTACTGAGAACAGTGTGCCCTGGAGTTATGCAGTAATGGGTAAATGCAGGTGAAGGGGGGAAGGGGACAGCACCAAGACATCTGTGGTGGCACGAATCTGTAATCAGTCATTCCAGGCTACAAATAAACTCCTGTCAAAAACAAAACAATGAAACCCGAGGCCAAGAGGCACTGAAGGCTCACCTCCCTGTCCCATGTTGACCTCATCCGCTTTGCACTGGCTCTGGCCTTACCCATGGGTGTCATGTGTTGGTCACTAAGAGGCCCAGCTTCCTTCTCCTAACTCCCTTCCATAACCATACACAGGACAATTACCAAATGTGAGTGTATTTCTGTCCCCAAAAGCTTCTTTCTCATTGCCCAGAGAAGAAAGGTTCCGAGCACTTAAGTTTAGTAAGTCAGGGACAGCAACAAAACCCCCACCAACATAGTCTAAAACCATTTTAGAGTGAAAGCAGTCGAAACACACTGGACTGGATTGGAATCTCTTTTGTTTTTGGTTTTCAAGATAGAGGTTATCTGTAGATTATCTCTAGCTTTGGAGCGTGTCCTGCAACTCACTCTGTAGACCAGGCGGGCCTCATACTCACAGAGATCCACCTGTCTCTGCCTCCCAAGTGCTGGGATTAAAGGCGTGCACTGCCACCACCTCAGAATTTCTCCTTATCTGAATAAAGCATTCACCATAAAGATAGTTTAGCCCTGAGGACAATGGCAGCCTGAGTCCTGTTTACATTCACCCTGGAATAAATAGAGGAATCAAGGTAGAATCAAGAGCCATCTGCTCTTCCAGAAACCTCCATACCATCCACACCCCACCTGCCTTCTCTCTTCCCCGCCTCCTCTCTGGTGCCCTAAGGGCCCAAGTGACCGCCACCCGCCACCCACTAGCCAGTCACCCAGCAGCTGCTTCAGCCCTATCACCCTCCCTACCCCTCCCCCATCATCTTTTTACTTTCCCAGTATTTCACCAATCTGTTCTACTGGGCTGAGGTTTCAGTTTCCCTGCATGGCGCCCCCCCCCCGGCCCGCGGGAGCCCGCGTGTGATGGAAATGAAGGAGAGGAACTGGACAGAAGAGCAAAGATTTATGGTTTGCAGAGGATCTCCATAAAACCTCTGACAGCCAGTTATTTATGAAAGAATAGACTGCAATGGGAACTAATAGGCTGATGTCTTGCAAGGCTGTCCTTTCAGGGGTGATGATAGGAACAAGCAAAGTGAGCGTTAGAGCCACCCCAATAGTGACCAAAGCAGGCTCCAACAGTCAGGCACACCTGCAGGCCCAAGCGCAACAGCCGAGAAGTCCTGTGTGCTAGCTGTGTTTTCCAGAGACTGGGAAACCAGCTGGGTGCAGTGAGTCGGAAGGCTAGCAACCTGGAGGCTGAAGCAATTTGGAGAGTGAAGCGGAACTGGGAACCCGATAGCCTGGATTACATGGAATTGGGACCACCTGGATTACAAGAAAATTCTATCTCCGCGTAGGTGACAAAGGAAGACCCTGACTCAAAAACAAAAACATAAAACCCAAAACAGAGCCCAGGTGGTTTTTATATACCTCTATTCCCAGCACTCAGAAGTGTCTCAGCACTGGAGAAGTGTTGAAAGTTTGAGGCCACACCTTGGGCTGCATAGGGAGTTCTAGGCCAGCCTGAATCACAGAGTGAGACTCTGCCTCAAAGAATAGGTTTATCCATTACACTCCCAGATGGTTCCCCGTGATTTCCCCAAACGTGGGAAATTTGACAGCATGGAGTGGGAGATGGCGTGGCATGCACCCTTTCCCCCGAAGAACAAAGTAAAAATACATTAGTAAATAAATAAATAAAGCAGGAAATGGGAACTGAAAGAAGAGAGGGGAGTGGAAAGGGAGATGAAGGAGGATGATGATAGGAGCTCTGGAGAAGTAGCTCAATTGGCAGAGTGCTTCCCTAGCAAGCTCCAAGTCCTGGGTTCTATTCTCCGTCACCCCTTAAAGAGAGTGTTGTGGTACAGGCACTCAGTAAGGAGAGGCAGGGGAATCAGAAATTCAACATCATCTTCAGCTATGTCGTTAGTTCAAGGCCTGCCTGGATACTGAGACCCTGTCTCTCTCGGGACAAAGAGACAAAGAAGTGCCTCTTTGAGTAAGGAGCGGTTTTTAGGCCTAGGTGTGAGAAATTGAAGCAGAGTGTTGAGAGTCTCCCCAGCTGTTAAAATATTTGAATGGGGTCCCCACCTGAACACTGCAAATAAGCAACAAGTGTGTGAGTGTGTGTGTGTGTGTGTGTGTGTGAGAGAGAGAGAGAGAGAGAGAACAGCCTGTTATTTTCACTGTTGCTTTTGTTCCTAAGGTACACACCCGACTCTGACTTAGTAAAATAGTGAAGCAACAAAGAACCTCGGAAGTTTCATTTGCTCAGCAACTGACATGCAGTCTCTTCCCAGGATCAGGATCCTTTCAAGTTGTTAATTACCCAAAAAAAAAAAATCTTTATTCTGATCCCCAAATCAGAGTCCATCCCGACAACGTTTTCTTCCTGAGATGGTTGAAATAAAGCCAAAGACAGATTCAGGGTAGAGAGTGGGGAAGAGGCAGGGGTACTGAGGAGGTGAAACTTTGCATACCACCGATGTATTTTTCTTCAAGGCTATAATTCCCGTGAGGATGTTGTAGAAACATATACAACTGGGCGGGGACAATATCTCAGTCCATTAAATCCTCGTAGCACACACATAAATTCAGACTCCTAACCCCTATGTTAGAAAGTCAGGCATGGTAGTGTGTATGTGCCTATAATTCTACTATGGGAGAGGTAGAGACAGGAGGATCGCTGGAGCTTGCTGGGTAGTTAGTCTTGCCTGACTGATGAGCTTCAGATTCAGAAACGGACCCTACCTCAGCGAATAAGGTGGAAACCATGGACAGTAGTGATGATGTGGGTTGCCTCCTCACAGAGAGATTTGCCCCACTTGGTCCTGACCTCTTACATATGCGTTATGTTTCTGTTGCTGAGATAAAACATCATGACTGAGGAAATTAGGAGGAGAAAGGGTTATTTGATCTCACAGTTATTGAAAGAGGACCCTTGACAGCAGAGTAGAGGCAGCAGGCACAGCGGCTGGAGGAACAGCCAAGGGCGCACATCTTGTACCACAGCAAGAAGCAGAGGGAACAAGCTAGCACGGGTGTGAGGTTTTAAACTCTCAAAGCCTGCTGTAGGTAGACTTTATGGCCACCAGTTCACAAATAACTGATACAGAGACTTAATATAATTTAGAAATGCTTGCCAGGCGGTGGTGGCGCACACTTTTCATTCAACACCTGGGAGGCAGAGGCAGGCAGATCTGTTACACAGGGAAAGCCCGTCTCAAAAAACCAAAAATTAAAAAAAAAAAGAAAGGAAAAAGAAAAAAAAATGTGTGCAATCAGACAATTAGGATTTTAGGATTCTTGCTAAGTCATAAGAATTCTTTTTGTTCCTTTTTGTTTTTCGAGACAGGGTTTCTCTGTAGCTTTGGAGCCTGTCCTGGAACTAACTCTTGTAGACCAGGCTGGCCTGGAACTCACAGAGATCCACCTGCCTCTGCCTCCTGAGTGCTGGGATTAAAGGCTTGCACCACCACCCAGCCCGGCACGAATTCTTAAAGATACATCCCTCTAACTTACTTTATGATGAGGAAGAGAAGGCCTAGGAAAGTGAGATGACCATCGACGGCCTGAGTCCCCCGTACAGCCCACC